ATTATAATAACAATAATTGCATATAGTGCATGTTCACAATCCACGCTCTACAGCATGCTCTATGCACATATCTATTAGTATTACTATTACCCCAGCAGACCCTAGATAGAGAACACTAGAAAAGATTCTCAGCTTCTCGCGCAACATAGTGCAAGCAGCCGATTAAGTGCTCAAACACTAATAAACGGATTAGATCTTTCGCTGTCTATAGCCAGGTACCCATTCCAACTTGGTTGAAGTATGTTTGGTTTTTTTTGGTAAGTATTTTACGGCACTAGCGGTCATATGAGCGCGGGGGACACATTAAACATTTTCAGTTAGTGGGAAACTGAACTTTGCCCGGGTGGCGGCCGAAGCCTACTCTTATCGATTTTAGAACACCAAGGGATCTTTAACGTGCACAACATGCACACTGGACCTCCGAGATTTTTCGCCCTTGTCCGAGAAGACCAAAAGCCCTGCCACTGCCAGGCAAGGTTGAAGCATGGCACCTTCCAAGATTGTTAAAGGGGGAGTAAAAGACTATTACAACACAATCACATGAGTTCGCTTGCCATGTAGGGGAGTCTTGTAATATTGAGAACTTGTCTTTCTGCTTAGTGACTGCATCTCTCCCTCTCTGCACAGGGTGGCCCTGCAGCCATGGTCAAAGCAGGCTGGCTCCTTTACAATCTAAATTGTGTCAGTAGGAGTGTGAAACAATTCATGATTTAGTACACCTAAAAACATACTCTTAATGCAGCTGTCGTTAACAACTTTGAACTTGAACCTTTATTCAAATTCTATTTTCAAGAATCTCATCATCATTTTGTTTAATTAAGCAATGAGAAGAACATCAACACTGTAAAGACTATTTAATGAGTTAAAATTCCTTCATCTTGCCCCAGCATGCTCATTCATTCCTTCCAGATTCTTAGTTTGAATATTGGTTCAGTTTCTTCAATCCTTTTCTGAAATGAAAAAAAACAAAAAAAACCCTCTCCGCAAGAAATTTTCTATTGTATTTACACCATCTTGACAATTTATTAATGTGAATCAACAGGGAAAAACAAGCTGTAGAGAAAAGTACCACTCAAAACTTTCAAGTGGTTTTGATTGTGTACAGTTCTTCACTCTCAGCCCAGTGAACAAAACTTCCTTCCGAATGACTAATGAGAGCAGTGCTTCCGTAAGCTGACAGTCTTTTTTCATTTTGGCACCACATTTTTTTATTTGTTAAATAAAAAGATTGATCATTTACCCTACTTGTGAGAAAAAAACAATTGAAACTGATTAGTTTTTTAATAAATTAGAATTCAAATTCCGTATTGACTATTTAAAAATGATTATGCTGACAAAAAACTTTTTCTTGAAACTGCTCTGAAGAAAAAAAGACATTTTGTCTGCTTAGAACTTGGCGCAGAGTAGGGTGTTATGTTAACAAAAAGAAGATGTAGGCTATATAAATAATTTTAAATATAAGTTTTGCGGCACTTGCAACACCAACAGGTCATGAGGTGTTACAAGGGAGTAACACAAAAAAAAACAGTAAAAGAGATAAGGACGATAGATGTTTGATAGGAAAAAAGGAGCAAACCACCAGCCACCCACTAACCAGGTTCTGCGCTTGTAATCCAACAAAGCTGATGCACTGATGATGTGCATGACTGTGAATGAAACTTACTAGCTAACCCTAATTACAAGTCATCATTGAAACCTTTGTCATTAATTTTTAATCTATTAACTCTTCTCCTACCAGGCCAAAATCCACCACTGGCCCAGGGCTTTTCCCTGACCTATTTTTACGCCCCTACCCCGCCAAAGGAAAATGTCAAAATACCCAATTAAACAAACACAAACCATATCTTATGGCCCATCAAACTGAAGGTTAAAAAATAATCTATCAGATGGCGATACAATACTGAAGATTTATTTAAATTACATTACTTTGGGGTTTCTAAAAGTGATTATGCAATATCGAAGGTGTCATGAAATCAACAATTTCCCAGCTTTGAAAGGTCAAATATCTAAAAAAAAAATGTACAAGAGCATCATTCAAACTTCCCAAGTAGGTAACCTCAAGTAATGCAAAGAAATGCTGAATTATGTATGTGTGTGCGCGTGTTTGAGCTGTGTTCTGACCGTCATTTCTGCATTTTAAAATATTTTTTTAACGGAACACTTCTCGAGTGGAAACATAGGCCTACCCTCTCACATCTAGTATCTAGGCCTATATATACATAAAGTAAAGGCGAGAACTTGGATTTTCTGATTAGGGAAAGAAAATTCAAGAAAACAGGACGTCTCGATCTAGATCTACCCATCCAGAGTTCATCCAGTTTCACACAGCCCGCATCGCGTTCCCACCAACCCCCTCCCATCCCTACCGTAGGCTAACCATCGCCCATCCTCTTGGCTTTGGCGCCCATACTAGGAGGCACACTAGATGTCTAGCAATACAATGTGTTAGGAATCGAGGATGGGCCTTGTGCTTTGCGTGAGATGGAGAGAAAGGACAAAAATTCTTCGCTTTTGGGGTCACTAATTGCATTTATTTGGTTATCGCGACCTCGTTGAAAGCGACTTCGGTCTGTTTGCAACCTCGTTGGAGCTGACGTACATTTACAAAGAGATACAGAGGGAAAAATCGGGGATTAACGATTGCCTCTTTGAAAGTGACCTCGTTGATTTAAATTTTAGTAGAGGCTTTACGGCGCTCGCAACTGCTTAAGGTCATAAGAGCGCCAGAAGTTTAGAGCAGGGTTCCTGCCATGAACTTCCCATCAAATTCAAGGAGTTTTCAAGGAGGTTTCAAGGAGAAATTTTTAAAATTCAAGGAGATTTGGTCAAAAATTAATGACGAAAGCCTATTTTCGATTGGCCTACACTTGTCCGAAAGGAATCATATCATATTCATAGTTTCGATTTTCCTAGAAAAACTGTTCTCATGGTGACTGCTAACCCGACTTCTCAATTTTCGAAAGAGGGGGGGGGGGGCTCTTCCATTCTCCTGGGGCATGTTACATAACAATGACAGTGCATGCTCCATTTATATATTATATATAATATATACACACACACGCATGTAGGTGTACATTATATCCAGTCAACAACATGATGTCAGTGTGGCACTGGGATACTGTGACTTAGGTATATCAGTCTGTTCTTACTTATTTATATTTTCCCATCTTCATATTCGCCTATACAAACTATATAAAAATGAATCTTGCTTTGAGCCTGAGAAAAAGCCTAGAACCAGAATATCCACTGTCAAGAACCAGTTTGGGTGTCAAGGTTTATATAATAAACGTGAAAGACAAATTATTACGCTAACTCAAAGTAGAGTAATAACATGAATGGCTCAAGTAGACCTATTCAGTGTGAGAGGTGTAAGAACTGGGGGAGGGGGGGGGGGGGGGGCAAGATGCAGTGACACTGAAAATCTGCGATTCTTGAACAGAAAGCTAAAATATATGCAATACATACAATTGACTAACACCTACGCAATGAAACGGGAACCCTTTAGTAAAAAGAACACGGCTTGAGTATGATGGATCCCGATTCCACACAAGGACTGCACCAACGCGCGCTTTGCAGAGAGATCTAGATCTAGATCTAGTAGTAATCAAAATTCTGAAAAGTAAAATCAGCTTCCAACTTCAGTTTTTTTTATCATCCGGTGTTGCCTTCAACCCCCCCCCCCCCCCCCCCCCCCCACCCGGGGGGGCGTGCGTCTTTTTAAAAAAATCAATAATCCTCCCATTCCCGAGTCCTATACTTTGCAGCGCTCAAACTTTGCATGAACTTTGGTGACCTCAACCATCGCCAATACTCACGATGTGACGAAAACGCACAGGTTCAATGACCGGTCACGATTGCGAGCCTGGCAAGAAGCTTGTATAACTTTCTTTTTCTTTCTTTTTTTTTTTCCACAAGTGACAGCACAGGACAAACGATTTATTTTCATGGCGACACAGCGTTTGTAATGCAGAGCCTGCATGTTACAAATGTGGCGTTATCAGACTACTACAGGTCCTACCGGCAAATGTCTGGGTGGTGACGAAAGCGAAAGTAGATCTTGATTTTCCCGATCGAGCTTCGGTATCGCACATACTTCCACTTGTTGCCGCCATTACCGCATGTGCGCGTGTAACGTACTCTCAGGCCGGGAAAGGCCGCATGAATATTATATCACAATCGCGACAGCAAAAATGAACTCGAGGACGTTATCGAATTTGGTTTTCAAATATTCGAGAACTTTTATGTATTTCCGCGGGTCTTTCACGGGGCAATTTACAGATTTCTTCATATTCCCATTGCATTCCGGGTCTCGGCGATTTTTTTTCTTCTAATTCCTGGGTAATTCCAGGGACACGTGTTCCTGTCCGATCTGGCAAAATTCAAGGAGTTTTCAAGGAGATTTTTCCTTGAATGCAAATTCAAGCAGTTTTCAAGGACTCCTTGAATTCAAGGAGGCCGCGGGAACCCTGTTAGAGGCGTTACAAGAGAGTAACAAACATAAAAAAGAAGGGGGAGATAAGGACGATAGATGTTTGATAGGAAAGAAGGAGCCTCGAATGCGACACCCACTGTATTATAAAATAGAAGTGAAAATATGAGACATACTGAAGTCAGGGGATCGCTTTTTTTTCTCACATTTAGGTTTCGAAGGGGACAAAAAAAGCGCTGAAACGACTAAAAGTCGTCTCTCAGTGCTATATTTTCTTTCGTATCTGCTAACAGGAAGTTTATTCTATTATTTTGAAAACTTGGATCAGCCAAGAACTTCGTGTCTTTTCATTACTGGATTGGGATAGATAGCGAGCCACTCGAGCCGTATTTTGCCGCTCTCGGTCCAGTGAGGCCAGGTCCACGAAGGGAAAGTGTTATAGCTCTTTTAAAAACTTATAAACAGGAAAAAAATTTTTTTAACCATCACAGCCATTTACATCACCTGTGCACCATAATCAAAGGACAAGAAATATTGCCAACACAGTCATAAACCAAAAAACATAACGATCTGATGGATGGAAAAATATTTTATTTGCTCACGTCGTAGCACAATGTCACCCAACCAAAGTGTTACAGTCAGCCAGGGTCTCACTTTTACCAAACAAGTTCAAATAATTGGTGTTTGCAATGCACAAGCTCATTCATTCAATTCTTTTTTTAAAAACTATTATTATGAGAAGATACCTTGCAATCATTGACAGCCTATGTAGGTTGGGTTGCTTTCCCTCCTCCACACTTCACCAACAGATGATTAAATGATGAAGAAAAAAATAAAACCAAAAACCTGAAAACACTGTACATTTAGTACCTAAAAAGATTCCAAAACCTTTTGTGTGAAATGCTTTGGGTATCTAACAATAGAACTTCAAATCTTAACAAAGCTTTGTCTATCCAAACATTCCCTTAGATCTTTCACTGTAATAAACATCCCGAAATAAAATGGAAGCCGTTTTCCAATCTGTGTCACATACAAATAAAATTTCAAATAAGCGTTATTTGAAGTATAATAAGTATAATAAGGCAAACATAACATGTGCTTAAGAATTTAAAAATAAAGTTGCGTCCCTAAGTTCACATTCTCGCAACCCAGAAATAAGCACTCGCACATGGGTAAACAAATACATATAATGTCATACTTGAAAGAACTCATTTCAATATGAAATCAGCACATTGATTTGCCACTAAGGTACCAGAAAATAACCTTGTTACCTCAATATGCATGAAAAAATCTATTTTTTGTCACTTCACAGGCACATTTTGATTCTCACGAATCATTCCAGGGACCAAGTTTTCAAACCACATTAAAAGATTAATCATACTTTTACACATGTACATAGTGCATGTATCTTTCTAAGTGTTCCCTTTCAAACAGGAAAAAATCCCTTTCAAACAGGAAAAAATCTAACATGTTTTAAGGATGCTCCAGGTGCAACACTACTTTTCGATCCAATCCTTTAAAAAAAATATTATTTTTAGCCATGTGAATGCCACTCTAAATAAATTTTGAGCTGATTTCATGTTGAAAGTGCATAACTTAATCTTTGGAAGTACCAAATAATTAGAAATCTCAGGGTGAAATACCAAACACCACTGACTTCCAGAGAAAGACATAGCGCGTTCAATTCAAAAAGAGGCAACATTTCCCAAACCAATTCCCAGCTTTCACTCCTTTGTACAGTTTTATCACACATTCATTATTTCCCAGATTTAAAAAAAAAAAAAAGAAAAAAAAACCCAACTTCAAACAACATTTCATCAGCGCATGGGATCAAACTTTTCGGTTTCAGCATAAAAATCCAACTTTCACGTTTTCACATGCAACCAACAAGAGAGACCTCTACACTCCATTGCATTTCTTGGCAGGAATGCAAAGAACTTGAAAATGCAGAACAGGGGTAAATCGGTCTAAGCTAGATCTGTTACAGATCAAATCCGGGCACAAGGTCAAAGAACAATCAGCAATCACACACAGCAGCCACACTTTTCTCCATAAATAAATCAATCAGTCTCATTTCAAAGCCACACATCTTTCTTAAACATGCTTTCTACTAATCCATCATTGTCTCAAGTAAAATGTACAACATTTGTTAATGCCAGTCCTTTATACAATGGTACAACTAATTTGAGGAAACAATTATCACCAAGTCCAAGCTTCCATTGGGTACAGTAAGGCTCATACAATAAGACGGCAACCAAACCAGCATAGAACTTCATTAGCAAAAGAAAGAAAACACTCAATTGGCAGAACACCAAGTAAAAACATCAAACCTCATTTCTCATCTATATTTTGCTTATTTCAGGAAGTATCAGCAGAGGACCATGACGGCACTACGGGTTATTTCCACATGCAGAAATAACCATAAGAATTCAGATTGAGCTTCACTTTGCTCCTGCTCAATCACCACTAAGAGGGTAATCAATAAAATGCAGTAGTCAGTAGATTTTTCAAAAACGCCTTTAAATTTCATATTTCATCAATACTTGTCAGTGCTACCAAAAACACTTTCTCAACATACTTCAGGCTGACATGCTAACTATTTCTAACTCTTCTAGGGAATCAGACGATGACATAAAATCACAACATAATTTTGTAGAATCATAACTTGGTTCCACACTAGCCGTACTCTCTACATTTAGAAAAAAAGATATAATAGCAGCTGTTGAAGTTAAATCCTCTGCCTGTCACTTGTTTTTATAAAATTTTATTCACATGGCAGCATGGGTAGTAAAATGTGCTTTTGACTAAAGATTACAACAATCCTAAACCCATACCTGCACATCTGGCTAAAGCAAAAAAAATGTCCTTGAATATTTAAGTCTCTACTGGGCATCCTGCTGAGTCTTTCATTGTGAAGGACTGGTGTCCTGCACCAAGGCAACGTAAGAACTGCGGTCACATCTATTCCTTGATCTTGAGCACCTTCCCAATGGCGATGGTCTTACCTGGAGGACAAAAAAAGAGGGGGGGAAATCATGAGCTAATGTACAAATATCAAAATTCAAGAAACTTCCCAAATTTTTACAATTTTGCATCCTGAAAACACCAACAAACACATTCATAGCACAATAACATTTGCATAAGTGCAGAATTTTTCATCATAAAAGCCCCACCCCAAAAATCTTATTTTAGACAGCATGTGTAGCATAACATTGAAATCAAGCGCCCGTCAAAATAATGAAATTGAAGAAACCGACATTATGCTGTCCTTTTGGCAATTTTTATCTATTTTGTATTGTTTTGGACTCAACCTTTTTTGTATATCTATTTAAAAACATTTCTGCTTGAATTTTACAGAAAAAATGTTAAACAACAGCACAAAAATTATGAATTTGCAGTTTCCAAGGAATCTACAACTTTTGAAGTCGCCTAACTTTAGCGGCCATTTTTCCGCTAATTTTACCTGACACTTGGCGACCCCAACCTCTTTCAATAGTAACCATCTTGACTTCTATTCAAGATCGATGGGGATTTTTTTTCATCAAAAGGCAAGCAAAGGGTCAGGTTATAAGATTGTACCAATAATGCCATATGCCAAAAAATTGACGACGGCCGGATTCCACCATATTGTGACACATAGTCAAAAACGATAATCACATGTAACAGAGAAGTGAAGAGGAGAAAAAATGAAATTACACGGTCTCTACCACAAACAACAAAACTTATGTAAGGAACTGCAAAGGAGATAAAGGTTTTTGAGCCATTGCCAAAACGGGAAAAACACATACATCTCTCATTAATATGCTTAAAATGTGATGCATTAGTATTTATTCCTCAAAAACTTATACACATGTCAAACATAGGATGTAGAACCAGCATTAGCAGTTTCAAACCCCACTTCAGCATTACAATCTTGAGTTGGTAAATTTTGGGCCAAAAATGTTTGTTTTTTAGAGATTCCTGGACTATCATTTTGAGCACACTAATCCAAACTTCCAAGAATATCCCGAATGTAGTATTTTGGGGTGGGTTTTTTTAATGTGTACTCTGATCTTATGCTATTTGTCATCGAGAAAGGTTCATTTGAATAGAAATCCGTTTACTTCTTTGCAAATAAACGAATAATTCGGATTACTTGTTGTCATGTCATCACAGACTAGGCTTTTCAAAAACAGCATTATTATTCAGTAGAATCACAATAGCTGGTTAAATCTTTTCAATTTTCATCAGTTTATTCAATACCTTAAAAGCCATGATGTGTGAAAAGAATATTGGAAGCCTAGATCGACGATTTTGATGGGCTGTTAAGATTCGCCATGATTGTAGTAATTTCGTGACGTACCAGAAATCAGAATTTTGACATGCTTTTGTTTGAACGAATCATCAACAGTGCCCAGATATAATTGTCTTCTAGAGTAACTTCTCCTCACCGTCTTCCCCAGAAAAGCGGAAGCAACGGCAGAAAAAAAACTAAAGTATTCATTGTTATCATCGAACGTGATGCACAAGTAATCTAATGTTGAATGTGACGTACATGACTGTTTTGTGTGTTTTTATGCTGCCCTGTTGAATATTTTGGTGAATTTGCGGTGTTTATATTGGATTCCTCGATAGTCTCATGTTTTGGCAATGGCTTAAAACATGAAATGTGCCATTAAATGACTGAGATGACAGTCAGCAGCAATAGTCTGTTGCATTACAATCAATAACAATGAGGCACTGTAAAATAAGACAACAGTAGAACCTGCCACGACGGCTACCTGTATAATACGGCCACTTTCCAATTCCCCCTTGCGTTTTTTCTGGATAATTTAACTGTAAAACGGTCACCCGTCCAATGCGGCCGCGGCCACCTTATTATATCCACCCAGAGCAAAATTTACCTGCCTCAGGCGGCCAGGCGTGCTCTTGAATCGCCCGATGCTTCGTCATAAATTCTAAATAGGCCTCTGACGCTGTGGACGGGCCATCATAATCCATTCATCTGTCTTTATTGTTAGTCCCTCCAATGAATGTTTACCCAAGTTGACCAATCATCATCAATGCCTTTCACCCCTGGCCACATACAAGCTCCTTCCATTTATATCTGTCCTTGGCCATCCTTTCAAGTTCATTCCAAGTGAGTTTCATCTCTCTCATGTCCCTGTCCACGCTATTTCTACTTCTAAAGTTGACCAATGGGTAACAATAATATTTCAACTGCTGGCGAGGGAAGCATGTGATACGTTATAACCTATAAGCCCTGCCCACAACTCATAAACAAATCATAATTGAAGTGACTTGGAGTACAACTTGACAGCAAGCTCAACCTGAAACAACACACCAACAACCTTAGGAGGAAAGCTATGAAGAGACTTAATCTCATCAAACGACTAGCCAGTACTAACTGGGAACCAGACAAGAACACCTTGAGAGGCCTCTGTTTAGGATATACCAGAGCTGTTTTTGATTATAATCTTGTTCTACAAAACATCTGCAGTAAAACTACAAACAACTCAATGGACATCATCCAAAACCAAGCTCTTCGTCTTATCTCTGGCGGAATGAGATCCTCACCGACTGCGGCCTGTGAAATCCCCACAAATATTGAACCATTAGAAACTCGAAGAAAACGGGCAGCTTTAAAAGTATATGAAAGATCTAAAAGGCTTGAAAATAACCACCCTAATAGAGTCCTTGTTGACAAGTGGAAACCTAATCAAAGACTAAAAAATACAAAATCTGTACTTGACACTGTTCTCAATCTCCAAGAAAAACACCTCCCTGAAAGACGAGAACCTCTGGAAAGAGTTCCTTCAACTCTCCCACCACATCTCACCATAGCAAAGCCAGAAATTAGGAAAACACTTTTGGACAAGAGCAATAAAAACATATACTGTAACACTAAAAATTCTGCCCTTGAAACAATTGATTCCTATCCACCAACATGGACCCACTCATACACTGAGGGATCTGCCTTTAAGGCAACAATCAACGCTGGATATGGGTAAGTGATCAACTTGCCCAGTGGGATAAAAAAAGAAGTCTTTAACTCCAGCGGGTCCTTCTGCTCCAATTTCATTGCCGAACAACAGGCTATCACCAACACAGCAAACTACATCAACTACTTGTTTGACACTAACCCACTTGCTACCACATACATCGTTGTCTTTACAGACAGCCTTTCAACACTAGAGACACTTGAGAGTGGGACTGATGTGAACAAAGATATATTGCACTTGATTTGGAGTCTACATAATTTGATAAGTAGGCACCATGTCAGAGTAGTCCTACAATGGATTCCTGCCCACACTGGGATACCGGGAAATGAAAGAGCTGATGCTCTGGCAAAGAAAGGAGCTAGCCTCCCTCAGCCTGAAATTCCTACGAATTACACCACTTGCTGCCAAATGATCAAGTCAAACCTCAAGGAAGAGTGGATGAATGATTGGGCCACAGGTACGACAGGAAGGAGGATGAATGGCCACATGAATAAACCACTGGTCAAAGATCCAATCAATGAGTTGAGGAGGGGATATCAATCCATAATCTTCCAACTTAGAACACAACATGTACCCCTCAACCAACATCTCAACCGAATTGGAGTAAAGCAGTCTGCTGCCTGCCCACTATGTGACTACCCCTCAGAGACAGAGGAACATCATCTGTTCTTCTGTAGAAAACTAACTGAATTCAGGGGATGTTTTCTTCCCAAGCTACCCCACACATCTAATTGCCTCTACTCCTCAAAACAACAATTAGAACAGACATGCAGCTATTATCGAATGGCATCATGCAGAAGAGTTAACGCTGAGATGCTACTGGATCGCTAACAACAACAACAAGTGACTGATCACCGTTTTGTTTACATAATCTGTAACAAAGTAACATTGGACGTTTACGTGAACTTGCAACAGAAGCATCGCTCGTTCTCCAAGGGGTGGCGACCCAAAAGTTTGTTTTACCATGGCCGTATTACACAGGTTCGACTGTACTTATCAGATTTAGGAAAGGATCATCACTACATTTCCTCAATCAATTCCAGAGTGGTAAACATAACATAATCAGTACCAAAAAGTTGAGTTACCACTATGACCTTCTCTCCGCTTGATCATATTAAATGGACACAGAAAGAAACAAATTTGTTATTTCCTGAAGTCCATGGTACTTATTCTAAAATAGACCTGACAAAAAAAATGCTGAAGAGTAGTAAAAAGCACTAATGTGGGCTACACCTGTCGAATTAAAATAATTCAGAAACAAAACTGGCAAAGCATACATTTGTATGGCAAATATAGAGCCAAAATGGAACGGCATTCCAAGTCAGCAACGAGATTGCCAAATATACTGTGAGCTGGTTTGTTGAGAATTCTAATAAAAGAAAGAATTCTGTTAAAGAAAGCCAGCTGTCATGTTGGAAATAAATTTCATGCATTAAACCTATTTCAACAACAAATGAGTCTTTGTGCCAAAACCCACATATAGTGTGAATAAAGAACAAAAAGTTTGATGTTCTTGTAGACCTACAACACAACACGATGCCAAAAACTGAGCTAATCGGGAGGACTGACAAGAGGAAGGAATAGAATGTCATAATCATTAATGTCTGCTTCAGACTTGACACCTGAAGAAGAAAAAGAAGACCTGTACCTTCAGCCTAATTACAGCCTTAAAAATACTAACCTTCATCTCTCAGTGTGAACCTTCCCATTTGAGGGAAATCCTTGAATGTCTCAAGGCAGATCAGCCCACCATTCACTTCGAGTCTTGCAATGCCAGCTTGGTCAGGTTTGATGAATCTTGGTCTCACTTGAGATTTCTCCCCAGTCTTCTTGTCTATTAAACAAATCAAGGCCTGTGGGAGGACAAGCACAAGAATAAATAAAGACTCCGTACCATGTACATCCAAGGAAAATATACATTTTTCTGACTTGACATACATCATAAACACTTCTACAACATAAGAGCTTGGCCTCAGAAAATGCAATTGGGGAGACAAAGAGCCCTTCATCTTATCCAACCATCAGAAATAGAAAGACAAAACTTATGCAAGGGACTGACAGCTTGATTTACTCATTTCAAGAAGAACATAAAAAGAGTGCATAGAATGTAGTAACACTTTAAAATGGTTGCAATACGATTACTGTAGGTCTTTTTGCTTTGAGAATATTAATAAATCTAAGAATATGGTATCGCTACAAAATGGCTCAATGATACAAATACTCTAGGTCTTCCTGTCTTAAGAATTCACAAATCTAATCATTCCTATATCAAGCTCTGTTGAAGAACCTAGAACATCATAATGCTTAGATAATCTTTTTAAAGGTTATTCATCCATACCTTTATTGTGACTTCCTCCACGCATGAATGAATGTGTAACACACAACTGTAACCAGCAGAAATGATGGATTTGTACTCTAATATGACAATCTGGAAAAAGAAAGATGTAATGATTTTTGTTTGAGTAAAGAGCACATCGACACAATAATGGTCATTTAGAGCTGGGAAATGGTAAGACAGACAGACAGCAACAAGAGAGGGGAAAGTAAAGAAGTAGGACTTACCAGTGGTGCCCTCCAACCACCCAAGTTATGTTGATTTTCACATTTCAGTAAAACTTTATTATATTGCCAAGTTTCTCTTATCACAGGGACAACAACAAAATTATTTTTTTAAAGATGAAGAACCAGACATTCCCCATTAGAAACTCAACCAGTTTGTTACCAGAATGAAAACAGTAAGGAGCATAAAGAAATCTGTTCAACAAGAAATCACCAATATCAAAACCCACCTTATTACACCCAGTGGGAATGGAAGGTGGAGGTCTTTCTGTTGTTAACTTTATAAAAAAATACCCAACTGTAATACAGGTACATAGGAGTCAACCTCAACTGATTAAATGAGGACCATAATTACTGCACCTTGTTTTACAGGGTGAGCAAGTCTTTGAAGTTAATATTTCGCGACAGTGACAATATTCATTGCTTTTCTTCCTCACCTGAGCATCAAAGATCCTTCCTGTATTGCATACATCCTCAGGAGAGCACAACACAAATCCTGGGGAAACATCCTGGTGGCGAAATGGAAAAGGACAGTGGTGAAAATCTAGTCTGTAAAACAATACTCATCTTCAAAAATTAGTCAGCACAACTGTACAAGTCTCAACCACACCTGCTCTTTGACTCAAATACCTTTGTGTACCTTGGATGTTTTTCACAAGTTGAGCAGAGACATAATATGGGAAACAAGTAATTTGCGTCAGAATACAGCTTTCCCCATCTAAATTAGTAGGACAGGGATAACGTTGTTCATCACAGGCAAAATAAAGCAAAAATATGTAGAGTAAAAGAATACAGTTCAATATTTGTAATCTGAATAAGTGTAGTGTCACAGTGATATCAGGCGTTCATCAAAATAACGAAATGGAAGAAACTGACTTTAACCCCTACCTTTTAAATTGCATATGTATATCAACTTTTATTCAAGATAGGTTGGGGTGGGTTTTTTTTAATCAAAAGCAAGACAAAAGAAAGAGCTTTAAAATGATACCAACAGCTTTATCTGCCCAATAATTTACGACCGCCTGATTTTACTGTGTCATGAGATAAAAATAAAGCCATGCTTAGAATCCTGACACTACTCAGAGACTAAGCAGAATTTAATTGTGGTCACCCACGTGCGGAGGTCAGAAAGAAACAACATAGGTTGAGAAAGTATTTACAGCAACCCTAAAACGGTACACTAAAAACGACAAATCTCATTCTCAAGACACTAAAACTTTAATTAACTCTTTGCCTCAGACTTCAATCTTCCCCATTGTAAATTCAAGTTGTCGGACAGGGATAACTAAAATCATCACTGGCAAGGTAATAAAAATTTTAAGTAGCGAAAGGTTCAGAGCACAGACAGATCACTTTGTTGTTTTTTTTTAGCAAGCATCATTTTACGACACTTGCATCCCAATCAGGTCAAGTAAGTGAAGATTAGAGGTATTACAAGAGAGTAACAAACCAAACAAAAAATGGAGAAGAGATAAGGACAATAGATGTTCGCTTGAAAAGAATTAACAAACCCCACCAGAGCACCCATCAACCACCCTCAATCACTTACTTCAAACTTAACTTCTATGCTGCTTGAATCATAAGTGCAATAGGTTAACAAATCATTTTTCCAGGAATCTCAAAACAGTTTATGTAGAGAAGCCAAAAGCTTGGAGGCTTAGACAAAACAGCGAAACATAACTCATTAAACCATGTTTATTTTTACCAAGCCAACCACCCACTGTACTCAATTTTTTTCGATAACTTCAGAAATCTATGAAATAATTAGACATGGGAAAGAAAATTGGAACAGTATAGAACATGCTTAAAATCTTTAAGTCAAACCAAATTGTTCATCTATCCTGTATTTATCTTTTTAGTTATCTTTTCAAAATTCTCAATGATTTTCAGTTCTCCAAAAGATAAGCAGAAAGCATTGACTCTCAGGTCAAGATACCGCTCTCCTAATTTACATAAACCACTTCGTCATTATGCCAGCTTCTTTGGTTTTAAGTAAGAAGACTATTGATCTGTATTTAAATATTATCTGCTTTTATTTCAGTGGTAATTTTGAAAATCTGCAAACTAGGTCTCAAAAATAATTTGAAAAACGATTCAACACAAAGAATCTCATCCCGATATAGTACAGCTTCGGTGAGTTTTTTAAAACTCTTAATAGGTCTTTTCTTTAAAAATCTAACACAAATGTTCCATGGTTTAGGAAGGCTATAAATCTTATATCTATATATCTAAAGACTAATTGCCTACATGTGGATGATTGTGTTCTATAGCTGAAAAAACTACGGAGCGTAGAACCAGAGACGCCAACCACAGAAAACCAAAATGAGTAGAAAAAATTTACTAGCCAGCTCGAAAAAGGGAGCACACATGCGTACAATAAAGATGTATCCGGTCAACAACATGTTAGTGTTCAATGTCGTACTGGGGTCTTGTTTGACGTAAGTATTTCAGTCTGTTATAATATTTTCCTCTCATTATTATTATAAAAAAATTAATCCTGTTTTGAGTGTTCGGAAGGGTCAAGAACAAGAACTTCGACTATCAAGAACCAGGCAGGGTGTCATGATTCATATTATGAACTGACAGACTCAAATTATTGCTCAAACTCAGAGAAGAGCAGTGAATAACTTGAATGGCTAAAGTAAACCCGTGCACTGTGAGAGTTGCAACAACTGTGGGAGGGCAAGATGTAGTGACACTGAAAATCTGTCCGTCTTGAACAGAAAGCTACAACATATACTGTAGGTATAATTTACTATCACCCATCCAATGACACGCACGAAAAAAAATGGGACGACGCTTGTATCTTTTCTTTTTTCCTACAAGCGACAGCACAGAGACGAGTTTGAGAAATTTTATTTGCACGGCAACACAGCGTTTACACTGCACAACCTGCATGTCACAAATAAGTTGTGTTATCAGTCTACCGCTGGCAAACTTCTCGGTGGTAACGAAAGCGAAAGTAGATCTTGATTTTCCCGATCAAGCCTCGGTGTCATATACACTTCCGTCTGCCGCCATAGCTGCCTGTTCGCGTGAAAGTGAAACTTACTCTCGGAGGAGGAAACGCTAAATGAATATAATATCACAATCGCAACAGGCAAAAATGAACTTACCGACCTTATCGGACTTGGTTTTCAAATATTCCAGTTCCGCGATACTGAGACTATTTTGACAAAAGATGGGACTTGAGATAATTAGGTTTACTCGCCCAAGCTGAATCTCGTATTTTTCGCATTCCAGGATGCGTATTTTTTCATGAAAAGTCGTATTCGCGTATTTTCGGCAAAAAATCATACTAAAATACGTAAAATCGTACTGGTTGGCATCTCTGTAGAACCATGAAAAAATTACTGAAGGTAGTTCAAAGACCAAGCTAAGTTTCTATCAATTCAGCAAGTGCTTGCATTCGCCTAAAAAAATAAGGAGAAAAAGAAAACACTATCAGCCGTTTACGATTTTCCCGTTCGTCATTTCAATGCAGTGTTCAAGACATATATTTCGTTTTCCATGATATAAAAATTGCACTTCCGCCAGAAATAAATAAATCTTCTTTGGGCGCCTACGACATAACTCACTTATGGCTTCAACATAAACAAAGCTTGACGGAAGACATTCTGTATGGCAATGGAAATACAATAAATCAAGAAGAAGCAGACAACATTGCTTAAATGCAGCTTGAAGACTATTTTTTACAAATGGGAGGGCAAAGTCTCGATTCATATGGACTTCCGACTGCACGATTAATGCTGCAGAGAGAGTAGAGCAAGACTACCGCAGAGAAATCACCTACGATGTAGAAGAACAAAGACAAAGGGCATCAAGAAACCACGCACTGTTAACATCAGACCAGGAGTATGTATTTGACACTTTCATGACAGCTGTCCAGAACAAAGCAAAGGGAATATTTTTTCTTGATGCCCCAGGCGGGTGCGGGAAAACATTCCTTCTAGAAACCATACTGGCAACAATTCGAACTGAAGAAAGAATTGCAATTGCAACAGTCAGCAGTGGATTAGCTGCAATACTCATTACAGGGGGTAAAACTGTACACAGTACCTTTAGATGTAGCCAGGTGTGACACACTAATGTGTTCTATCCTTAGCAAGGCTCATCAATGACAGCAGAGCCATAGTAATTGACAAAGCACCTATGCTGAACAAGGCTGTCTGTGAAGCTCTGGACAGGACGGTTCAAGATATTAACTCCAGAACTGTTGTCTGTAGCCATGTCTCGAACTGGAGATAAAGATGCTGTTCACATCTTGGCACCCAACAGTCAAACCAAGAATGTTGTATATATCCAGAAGTTTTGGACAATATACATCAGTACTAGGTGAGACTCACTTTTGAAAATTCTTTTTTTTTTCAGGTATAGAATAGAACCATCCTGCTTTATTCAAATAACTTTTCAAATTACTGCAGTATTGACATTTTTATTTACATCGCAACATTAATTTTCGCCTAGAACACATTATTTGCCCGTTCATAGAACAGGTACGCAGGCTAGTTTCTATATAATTTACCCAGTTTGGTGCTTCCATATAGAGAATAGACTTGATTCTGGTGAATTACCAAAACAAAATTAGAAAAATTTTTTAAAACTATTTCCAATATAAAAGCTTAAGCTCTTTGCCTCAGATTACCATCTTCCCCATTGTGATGTCAATTTGTCGGACAGGGATAACTTATTTCATCATTGGCAAGAAACACAAAACCAAACAAGCTCAGACGAAAAGTTAAAGCACCATACAGATTTATTATCAAAAACAATATTTATTTTAGTGCTAAAGTATCACTAAATGTTTAGATTAATCTTATCCGTACGCCTGGGGTCATTTTGAACCCCAGGGGTTGTATTCTTCACATTTTATAATACTTCTAGTGCGAAGATCTCTTTGAAACTTTCAGTATTTCCCAAAAAATCATTTTGATAGACTGCTATGCAAGCGTACGGATCAGATTAACATATAAATTTCATCTTTGGAAAAAGGGGGCATAGAGTTCCCCCACGTTACGACGTTTCAACATGGCGTACAGGTAGGGTTAAATACATATATGCTAGATACGACATTATACATGAAAAAAAATTTCAGGACCCACAGTTGCGCTTAAACACTCAAAATATGTAACTAATAGGTGGCTGTGTTGATCTTTAAAATTACAAAAAAGACCTATTTTAAGCCTCTCTGGATAGTCATATCAAGCTACGTATTGGTACTCCTTTTTCAAAAGCTCTATAAAATTTTAAGTCCAATCTTCATAAACATGTACAATCTTCTCTCTCGCCCCTAAAAAATATCCCCCATCCAAAAATTTTTTTCTTATTTTCTACTGCCTAAAACTATGCAAAACAAACAGAATCACAACTCTGCCTCAGATAACTATTTTCCCCATTCATTTTGTCGGACAGGGATAACTATGTTCATCACAGGCAACATATTACTTTTTCCACTGCAATGTACCTTACATAATATTTCTGTGAAACACTAAAGTTATGTCACAAAACTCTACTGGGAAAGAGGTTTACAAGCTGCTGGGTACCAGATGAAAAGTTCTCAATTTAAAAATTCCCTTACCTCCTCTTCAACACCACTGATTTTCAACTTGACATTCTCTCCTGGCATAGCGTCTTCACTGTCCTCTTCGTCTGACACAATGGTCATCACTTTGATGTATGCCTGTAAAAAACAGTTATACAAGTATGTGATGAAACTGACTTTGCAATCTCTCAATGCCCTACTCATAAAGTACAATGTTAGCAATACTGGAACTCAGTACAAACAAAAGCAGCCCTTTGTACTAAAATGTTAATTGTAAAGAAACAACAATATGTCCCTAGCCATTGTTTTCAGTGAAGAAATTATGTGCCAAGTATAAATGAGACTACAACAGACTTTCCTTGGTCAAAGATGATGTCAACAAGAACGGCAAAACATTTTTTTTAATAATTAAAAAAAAACCACCCTCAGGCTACATGTACCAGTCTTCAGCATAAAAACAAAATGATGTACCAGTGGGACTGACAGCAAGCATTAAAGAATGAAGCTGCTAATTATCACTGCATCTCGATGTTGCACACATCAATGGCACACTGAACTAACAAGTACAGGTGGGTAAGTGTGTGCAGTCACAAATTATGTAACAATGACTTGAATCCTACACAGCACAAGCAAGCTTGGCATGCCATCGAGTACACAGGAACATTACTTAAAATTAATTTTTGTTTGCATAGAATAAATATAATTAACTTATCAAGAAAATGCAATCAACTGTACTCATAAGAGACAGAAACCTAACATGCCAACAGGAAAAGAGAATCTTTTAAAATGTCAAGCCATAAACAGATCATGGGAGAGCAGAATCACTCTACAATAATATATTGTCAAGAGGAAAGATCAAAATACAACAGGAAAAAAATGTATTGCATAAACCAGAAAAGCAGTCTACAATATGCCCACCCCTCAGAAAACAAAGATGTCCATACATGGGCGAAATCCTTGAGATGTTAATCTTCATCAGCCCCAATGTAATGAAAAATCTCAATGTACCAGTGGGACTGACAACTAGCATTACAGAATGCAGCTGCTAATTATCACTGGAGAATTTTGTAGCACACATCAATGGCACACTGGACTAAAAGAAAGTACAGGTGGGTAAGTGTGTGCAGCTACATTTTTTTAAAATCATTCATAATTCTCTTTTTTTAAGTAAGTGTTTTACCGTATTTGCAACACAAGGTCATATTAATGCTTAAGATAAAAGTGTTACAAGAGTGCAACAAATCCTAAAAAGACGAGATAAAAGGACAATAAATTTTTAATAGGAAAGAAGGAGCAAACTACACCAAAGCATCCCCCAAACCACCCACCATTCTCAATTTTAAGTGTTTAAGATTGATATTATGGAACACTGATCAGCCCTCTGCAACTTCAGTAAATGACTGGGACACAAACATACACAACATTTTGTAAGAATGCCATCACTTAATTCACTGACAAGAAAGGGGGGGAACCAACAAAATCATGACCACTATAAATAAAGAGAATGTTTCTCAAAAATGTCAATTTTTACAATATTCATTTATATCTGTGACATACCTGAATAAAAAAGGGAAGGTCATTAAATACTCTCAGTATGAAATGAAATTAAAGTTTTTCCTCTGGTTCCTACAAACACAGGACGTAAAAACAAAATGAATTAAATCCTTACACCCTTTTTCAACCCTTAAAATAATGTTAAAAAGTATGAATTGAAAATAAAGGGAATAAAACCAACATTTACAAAGAAACAAAAAGTATGAGATGGGACACAAGTTCTGTATCTTCATGATATAATTAATTAATGTACCAGTGGGACTGACAACTGACAATATTGAATGAAGCTGCTAATTATCACTGGAGACTAGTGTAGCACACATCAATAGCACACTGGACTGATAAGAAGTTCAGGTGGGTAAGTGTGTGCAGCCCATTTTTTTAAAGTTATTCATAATTCTCTTTTTATTAGTAAGTGGTTTACCGTATTTGCAACACAAGGTCATATAAGTGCTTAAGATTAAAGTGTTACAAGAGTGCAACAAATCCTAAAAAGACGAGATAAAAGGACAATAGATGTTAAGTAGGAAAGAAGGAGCAAACTACACCAAAGCATCCCCCAAACCACCCACCATTCTTAATTTTAAGTGTTTAAGATTGATATTATGGAACACCGATCAGCCCTCTGCAACTTCAGTCAGTAAATGACTGGGACACAAACATACACAACATTTTGTAAGAATGCCATCACTTAATTCACTGACAAGAAAGGGGGGGAAAACCAACAAAATCATGACCCCTATAAATAAAGAGTGTTTCTCAAACAAGTCAATTTTTACAATATTCATTTATATCTGTCACATACCGGTATAAAAAAGGGTTTGTCATTAAATACTCTCAGTATGAAATGAATTACCAGAGGTAAAAACGAAATGAATTAAATCCCAACACCCCTTTTCAACTCTTAAAATAATGTTAAAAAGTATGAATAGAAAATGAAGGGAATAAAACCAGCTTTAACAAGGAAACAAAAAGTGTGATATGGGACACAAGTTACGTATATTCACTATATAATTATTGTACCAGTGGGACTGACAACTGACATTATGGAATGAAGCTGCTAATTATCACTGGAGACTAGTGTAGCACACATCAATAGCACACTGGACTGATAAGAAGTTCAGGTGGGTAAGAGTGTGCGGAAATGGGGCCATTATCTAAGACCCTGAATCCTGTCTTTTTCATGGGGTAGTGGGGGAAGAAGATTAAAAAATAACGAACCACAATTTTTCCAGCTTCACTATGTACTTAAAAACAAAAGCAAAGCTGTAAAATTATTGATAAATTGATAGTATAAAAACTTAATTTCTCACCTTGTTTGGCATCATGAGAAGTTTTTGATTTGTAGTGACAATACCAGATTCAATTTTCCCAAGCACTATCGTGCCCATATCCTGTGAGAATAAAAATGGGACACGAAAAAATAAGGACCATATCATTTGAATAAAGATAATTTAAGGCGGAAAACACATTGGACCTTGCATTTGGTATTAATATAAGTTAAGAAAAAAAAATACAGGTATGATACAAGTTTCATTTGTGGCACTCAAGGATGAGGCTCATTCTAATACTAGATAAACAATCAGACACCCAATGTATGGTGACAAAATTTGTGCCTTATCCCAGACATTTAGAGATCAATTCAATTGTACTGCCTCTTCATCAAAATGATTTCTGAACTGGAACAAACTACCCTACAAATAAAAAGGACTGAGAATGTGGGGTATACTAGTTTTGCGTTGTGGCTTAATCTACCCTGTAAAAGAAATTAAACAGAAAACCATATTTGGGTCACGCCGCAGTGGAATCAAGCGCTCAACAATTTTTGGCCATATGCAGACCTGCCACTTTATGAAATCTAAAATTCAGGATTTTAGAGTAAAAAATCAGGATCTGGTGAAAAAAATCAGGATCAACGGCAAATCAGTCATAAGGGGCACAGGGGGTTCCCTTTTATGAGGCAAGTATGCAAGACAAAACTTTTGCAGGATTAAGTTCACGTTTCGGAAAAAACTGAAAGACAGCATATATGTACTCGAGTCGGAGTTGGATAGAGTAAGGGAGCGCATGTTGCAGAAAAGCTGAAACTCTCGTAGTCTTGAAAATAGCTGACACATAACTCTAATCATCCACGCAAAAAGTCCACGTTTTCATACAGTAACAACGTTCGACTTCCATCGCATATACATTCAAGGCACCCCACCTCACCCCCCAAAAAAGGTCGCACCACGGTTGTTAATTTTAAAAAAAAAATTTCTCCCCTCAAATAGTACCTGTATCACGGCACGCACTTTAAGCCCAAGTGTAACCAAAAAATAACAACGCCCCTCCCGGTTTTCCCACTCTGGTTAAGTCCCGAGAAACACCGACCAAAGCGACCAGTGTGAATGAACTTTGCTGACCCCAACAACCGACGGTCTCCGACACACGCGCTACTCACACGAACGACTTCATGTCACGTGATGCGAATGAGCGCTTGAAAGTTCCACTGACAGGTCTTGATGATGGGCCCAACTAACCAGAAAGACGAAGCTTGCTTTTAAAGCAACGGCAGAACAACGAATAGATTATTCTTAGGCCCATGTCATAATTGTTACAGTGATCAGGACACCATCGGAGAACTCTTGGTTATAAAATCGAAAGTAGATCTTGAACGTATCCAAGTCGAAATTCAAAATCGATACTACGTCGATTTTAGTTGAAATAACGTGCGCGAGTCATCTACTACATTTAGCATAGATGCTTTAGAAAATAGTGTTTCTGCCGATAAAAAGTCCAATCAGTGCTTCCAAGCAAAAAAGATTGCAGAACATTTTACATTTTTTTCTAAGTCGGACGCAACAACAAAATATCAGTATACTGGCTATCGAAATCGGGAAAATCTGGATGCTTGAGATTCAGGGGAAAAAAATCAGGATATCCCGATTAAATCGGGATGAGTGGCAGGTCTGGCATATATAGTTATTGGTATCATCTTAAAGGTTATTATTTGCCTTGCCTTCGATGACAAAAATATCCATTGATCTTGAAAAGAAGTCAAGATATTTGTGATTGAAGGAGGTGGGGGTCGCCTGGTTCCAGAGTAAAATTAACGAGAAAACGTCCGCCAAAGTTGGGTGACTGCCATAGCCTAAGAGTCCTCGGAAACTGCAAATTTACATTTTTGTGCCTTTAATCAACGTTTTTCCATAAAATCCACATATAAAAGTGTTTTTGAATGGACGTACAAGTTGTTAAGCCAAAAAAAAAGTTTGAAGAAAAAAAAAACATCCAAACTGGCCAAAAAATGCAATTTTCCCAGATTTCATTATATTGACGAGCGCCTGATTTCACCATGATGCCTCACATATACATTTCATACTAAGAAAAGTGGGCCAGGAGTCCAGGTGACCTAAATGCAAACACTTAAAAAAACAAACAAATGATAATTGAGAGTGGGAAGGGCAATAGTAAATATTCTCATAAATAAAAGTTTAAAAATTAATAAGCACCAGCCCTAGCCACTTGAACACACAGCTCACGAGATACAAAATATACTGAAGCATAACTCACCTTGTATCTATCCACAACCGGCAACCGCACTGCTGCATCACTAGCTCTGCTGATGGGTGGCATTACATCGAGGTATTCTAATAATGAAGGACCACTGAAAAATAGAAAATCAATTGAAACAATGAGACCATATGTTGAGGCCATGCTATAAAATGAAAATCCCATTTAATTTTCATCCCCTCCTAATCTTGTGACTATAAGAACATAAATCCTTCCAATTACAAAAAGAAAGAAAACAACACTTTTACAATTATCATATTTGTGTCACAACATGGTGGAATCAGGCACTCGTCAATTTTTGGACATGTGGAGTTATTGGTATCACCTGAAAGCTTTTTCATTTGGCTTGCTATGAAAAAAACACCAATCTATTTTGAATAAAAGTCAAAATATTTGTGATTGAATGAAGTGAGGGTAGCATGTTTTTAGAGGTACATTTTTTTAGAAAATGGCCAAAGTTTTGTAACTTCTACAGCTTGAATGTCCTTGAAAAGTGAAAATCTACATATTTTGTGCCATTAATCAGACCTGCCACTCTATGAAACCTCAAAATCAGGATCTCAGGGATAAAAAATCGGGATTTGGTGAAAAAAATCGGGATCAACAGCAAATCACAAAGGTGACTGTCAAAGCTGACTTAAATTTTTTCCAGAGGTGTCCATAAATTCCTTGGCCTATATGCCCTCTGTGTGTCTATGTTTGTTTGTTTGCGTGTGTGCGTGCGTGCTTGTGTGTGTGTGCGCGTGCGTGTGTGGGTGCGTGTGTATTTTTTGTAAATCCTGAAGCATCGCGTCAAGCACTCTTAGTCCAAGAGTCTATACCCCCCCCCCCCCCATTAATAAGTCCCGAAATATATTAACTTAAGTTGACCCCGTCAACGGACGGTCCCCGACACGCAGAGCACACACGGCGATGACAGGTCACGTGACGCGAATGCGCGATTTTAACAGTTTTACTAATGGGTCCGATTAACTGCATGTTCACACAAAACACTCAGATGAGCGACAGTCGTTCTACTTCTAGAATAACGACGGCGGCCGACCGACCAAATGTACCAACAAATCTTTTATCCCTCATGGGTTCAGACAAAAGCAGCGACAACGGCCGTATGTTTGTCTTGTCAGCGCAGTTATATGTTAGTTGTGTAAGGATTAGAAAGACTGTCACTTGTCTGAGTGTTTGATGTGAACGCTCAGTTACCCAACCTCGAACAAGGCTTGTTTTGAAAGCAACAGCAGAACTACGAACATTATCGATTATTAAATATCCCAAATTGTAACAGTTACCAGGCTATCATAGGAGAATTCTGAGCGCGGGTAAAGATCACACACAACTTGGGGCGAGTCAACTACTAAATGCGGCATCGATATTTCGAGAAATAGAGCTTCGAGTTCCTACTGACAAAAAGTGCAACGGGTGCTTCCCGCGATAAAGGAGCAGGCAGTGTTTTTAGAAAAATCCGGCACAACAGCAGACTGGGACAAAAAATCTAGATACACGTGATCAAAATCGAGATGCTTGAGATTCGGGGCAAAAAAATCGGGATATCCCGACTAAATCGGGATGAGTAGCAGGTCTGCATTAATCGACAAATTTTAGTAAAATTCAAGAGTAAATGTTTTTATATGGAAATAAAAAGTACTGAGCCAAAAAACAAAAATTTGATTAAAAATTGCCAAACTGGAGGGAAAATGCCCGTTTCTTCGATTTCATTATTTTGACGAGCGCCTGATTTCACCCTGATGCCTCCCATTTATGTTTCACAGATTTTGATTTCCCTGCTTGTAAAAGCCATTTATTGATTTGTATTTAAATTGATACGTTGATATCAAAAGAACAGACAAATATATATAGAGAGAGAAGATATAATCCGAGATTGATAAGTCTATTGTGATAGAACACCTATCAATACAGTCTGTGTAATAACTTTGAAACAAATGAAATCTGGACCTACGTGAACCATGGACAAACTGAGTCATCAGGGACCATTGTGAGGAAAGCTCCCGTAAGACCTGAGCAAGGCATGAAGTAGACATCAGTTTTGGGGTTGAAGCCACATTTTTTCAAGTAAGGGAGGAGTTTTTCTTTGCACTCATTGTACCTGGGAAAATAAGAAAAGATGTGCAAGAAATATAATTTCCACCCATGTAGAGTAAATATTGATTGCAGGAAACCAGTTGCTGCAAAACAGCCGTCAAATAAGCCAAGATGTGATAAAATAAGAATGTAAGATAAGGAGCAACACCACATGACAATTTTATTAGACAACAAATTTTCACAGCACTGCACGAACACATAAAATCTCAATATAAAGATCTTATAGTCCTTACTGAGCAATGCTATTTACGAAATACTTTAAAATTCAAGATACATTCTGCAAACATAACTCATGACAATAAATGAATAAATGGTTAAGTCATTTTTAAACTTCTGATTTATCACCCTTCATAAAATCAAGACTGTTGTTGTGCAAATAAGCTTCTCTATCAATCAAAAGAATTTATTTTTAACAGTATCAGTAACCCCCAATCATGATAAAATAAAAAGCAAAAAATACCAATATGACACATCTTACCTTGCTTCTTCCCACTCCACTGTAGGATCATCCATTTTATTTATAAGCACCACTAAATGTTTCACTCCAGCTGTCTTCACCAACATGGCATGTTCTCGTGTCTGTCCTCCCCTTTCAAACCCTGTCTCAAATTCACCTCTTCTTGCTGATATGACCTGAAAATCATATCAAAACTGTTTAAGATCTGTCAGGAAACAGAAAGTACGCAAGACAAAAGGAAGGTGCATGACAATATTATTATGACCTATTTAATCTATTTAGCTGTATAAAAAAGGACAAAAATGTGAAATACAACATCAGCTCCACTGTACAGAAATGCCTACTTCTTAAATGAATGGCTACTAGCACCACACTATGCCCCAACTGTAAGAAGTTGACCACGACTATTAAAATCCAAACATTACGATGAAATATGCGTATGACTGCTAGTATTATAATGAGCTGTAAAATACAAACCATCTAATCAGACCGTGTTTCACATGTTGTTTCCTGTATGTAAGAGCCATTTATTGCTTTTAATCTGAATTGTTATGCTGATATCACATGTATCAATAAATAAGTATACAAGTTTTTCCATTTCAATCACTTGGATTGGAAATGTGTGCACCAAAGTGTCACAGTTCTATTATTTCATGAAACAGATATAACATTTACCCCTCTGAATAAATACTACCCTTTCCAGACTGTTTTAAAAACAGCCCCCAGCCTCCCCAACCACCCCCCCCCCCCCCCCCCCGGAAACCCTTTTGGGCCACAAATAGTCAACATATTTTTACACTTATTCTTGCAAGAATCAATATTTTAAAAAATTTCATACATGGAGGTTTTCCCTTATTTGATAAAGAGTCACATTCAAGTGACATGCATCGACCAACCATCACAAATTCCTTTTTTAATAATCACTAATTACTTTTTCAGTGCACAATTCACAAAAGTACCAGAATAGCAAGATCTGCTTGTGACGCTCCACAGATCATGTTGGGGACAAAGCTCTTGTGACCAGGGGCATCTAACACGGAGTAATGTTTTTTTTCTGACTCGAAAAACGCTCTTCCAACTTCGACTGTTTTGCCCTTTTCCCTCTCCTCCAAGTTGGTGTCGAGAGCCCATGACAAATACCTGAAGGAGAGCAGAAACAACAGATAATGAATTAAAAATACAAAGATAACACCCACCATAAAATGATACTGAATACATACTGAAAACAGAACATGCTTTAGTACAGTGTGGTGATTTAAAACAATTATTTCTACGCGCTTGTATGACCTTGTGCAGTTGCAAACGCCGAAAAACTCTTACCAACACAAAAACAAACCAGAAAATAGGGCTGTACCCCGGTAGCAAACCCGCTCGTGCTCGCAAGCCCCTAGTTCAAGTCACAAGCCTCAAATCACTAGGTCAAATCATCAAATCAAATCACCAGCATGATAAGTTGAGTCTAGCGCAAACTGTAACCTCCCTGGTCTCGTCTAAACTTCAAGTCCAAAGCAACTAGCAATCCGTAAAGCCACTCGTGTCAGACCCCTTCATCATCCCCACGTTGCTTGCAATCCGTGTACCCACTTACGTCAGAAAAAAAGAGAGGGGGAGAGTACGAGATCCGGCCCAGTGTCACTGCGCCGCGTGGCGCTGTAGTCTGCTCGATTATTCAAAGGCTTGCAAAGCAGCAGACAGCCGTCAAGTCTCATATCCCGTCCGCAGCCACAAGTCCCACGATTCACGTAGTACTACTTTGTAGTGAATTGTCCCAGGACCAGCTCGAAACCTGACCTGCTGACTTGTGCTGTCTCGCTGTAGCAGCGAGCGGCAGGCAGCAGGACCGCTCGTTGTGTTCAAGCAGCAGTACCGCTCGCTGTGTGAACTTTGAACCTTGGAGGAAGGGAGAGGCTTGGCTTGTTTTGGTGCAAGACGTAGAGAGCTGAAGTTATTTTTAACTTCTCGCCGTTAATCAGCTAAGCGAGAGGATAAGTGAGAGGGAGTGTGGTGTTGTAGTAACAGAGACCTAGGTTTCTGGTAGCAATAAGAATGAGTAAACTTAGATTACCCTAGAATGGAAAACTTCAGGGGTCGTTGTGATTGGCTTTTGTATCGTATGTATGTAACCTATTTTGTAGATGTGTTACACTCACAGTGACATAATACAGAACAATTTGGAGACGGGCTAGGCCTACTTCAACCCAATGTCAGGGCCAACCTGGGCTGAGAGGGAACAACGCCCCAGCAGAAAGACGGAGGTTCTCAGTAAAAATTTATCCCCAGACGGGAATCGAACTGAGGCCTTTTGCGTGCGACGATGAAGGGCTTGGCTCATGCACATTAAAAATAAACAGGCCTTAACATCGTAAGAATAGCCGATCCAATACTAATTTTTAAGTGCATTGTATAGAGCTTTTTGTTATTTACAAACGAACTATGAAAAAAAAAAACGATCTTGCACTTCTGGTGCAAGCCTCTCAATGCAAATAACCAGAGAATCTTCAGTAATATATATAGAGCCCACAGGCACGAAGGCTCGCGACGTCACGACACAGTACAACAGGACTGTCGAGTCACAACTCACCGGAAGTCCCCCCACCCCCGGTAGCAAGCGGGAGGCAAAGCAAAGCACAAGCCTGCTCGCAAGCCGTCCGCTGCTTTGCAAGCCTTCGACTAACCGAGCAGAATCCAGCCCTACCAGAAAAGACCCATTCATTTCCTTGTCGCGAAATTTGCTTATATTTGACTTCCTGCTGTTCAGTGTGACCTCTGGAGACATGTTTGGCATGCATAGTCAAACTTTAAGACAAAACGTTGAGTCATCTTTCTCAATACATATCAGTGTGGTAGTTATGTCCATCAGACATTCAGATTTTGACTCTGATTTGTCAAGGAAAGGGTCCTAACACGAAGAGCCATTTTGCATCATTATGGAGGAAGACATCCACCTTCCAAACTAATAATCTTTTGAATGCACCATTTTCAGGTAATGAAATTCTGTGGATTTTTAGTGAGTGTTTTACAGCGCTCACAACTGCAATGGTCATATGAGCGCATGGTCATATGAGCGCATGGGCATGGACGCCAGTGTTTGAACAGACTGATTCCTGCAAACTGACTCTCTGAATTCTTACGTTCCTGCAAACTTATCACGCCCCTACCGCCTCCTAAAACCATCCCTTTCAAATAAGAAAGTTTCAACTCACTGACTACTGGCCCCTTTCTCCAGTCACTAGCACTGAATACTGTCATTTTTGGGGGCATTTCAAAACACCACAACTCTCAGAATTACCGCATTGTAATTAAAATTAATTATTTTTTTACAGTAAAGTTAAATTTAAGCTCAATCTAATACAAAATTTTTTAATTGTCCAAATCTAATACTTTAATTTTTATGATTTTAAAAAAATTGTCATGAATTTGATTTTTAAATAAATTTCCAGAATGAATTTCACAACAATAAAAATAAATATTCAAAGTGTTGTATTGATTTGTATGCATGTGTGAGTGTTAGGTGAAAATATAAAAGCGTTAATTCAGACCCAAACAACGAATTACATGAGACAGATGAAGGAACACGGAGTTGTGATTTCGTTGCGCGAACAACAACACCAGTACTAGAGATCTAGTGCTAGATCTGGCATTAAACTACGACTCGGGCCGTGTTCGAGTACATATCCAGGATCCTAGCTATCAGACACATCATATTCTGAGTCACTAGAACTAGCAAAACGAACAGAAGTATTGAAAACAGCGAAATTATACAATTCTTGTTCATGCGTCTTCTCTGACCATTACTTTGCGACGCGACTGTCAAATTACTATAAGCTGTATAGAAAAGAACATAGCGTGAGTTCGGTAAGTTAAACCCCAGTTGAGGTTACTGTCCTTCGCCTTCAATAACTTAAAAAGTTACCACGCTACTTCCGCCAAACTCGGCACGAAACGAAACAAGTGGCAAAACTAGCACTGGAGTCCGTTCCCATGCATGTGCCGGGAGAACAAGACACAGAACAAAATCGCAAAGTCCACCCCATCGGGGGTGCGGTCGCAACCGATCGATGCCGGCGAGATTCCGGCAATCTGGCATCCACGTGCGCCGGACACACTAAACATTTTCAGTAGGTAGGAAATTCTGAATTTTGCCCGGGTGGCGGCCGAAACCTTCTCTTATCAATTTTAGACCACCAAGGGATCTTTCAGGTGAGCAACTTGAACATGGGACCTCCGAGATGTTTCGCCCTTGTCTGAGAAGGCTAGGTGTAGATCTTTCCTAGCACAAGATCAGGGTGTGGCTAAAAGACAGCAGTAAGAAGGAGCCAAGGAGTAGCAGTGGTGTCAGTGGCCTAGTGATTAGGCTTCCGCACTCGTAACCGTGAGGTTGCGGGGTCGGGGCTTCGAGCCGCGGGCCCGACGTTGTCCTTGGGAAAGGCACTTTACACGAATTTTCCGCACTTCTCCACGGTGGAAATGGGTACCCGGCCATAGACGGCGAAAGATGTTGTCGGTATGTTAGTGGCTTAGCGCCTATAAAAGGCTGCTAGCACTGTATGCTTCCCGCGAAGTTGAGTTTGTTTCAGAATGCTCTCAGGTCTGCTAGGGTAATAGTATAGATTGTGAAGCGCACAGAGCTTGCTGTTAAGCTGGGATCTGCGCTATACAAATTCTATCTATTATTAAGACTGCAGAAAGAGACCAGAGCCCAGAGGAGGGGGCAAAGAAGGGAAGAGGGTGAGGGCAGAAAGTGGAGCCGAAAGCAGACAACAGAACATTGCTAGAGAGCCGGAAAGGAGGTGAACGGAGACAATTTTAGAGAAGAACATTTTTCCCATCGCTAAAGGGATTCAAACCAGGGACCTTTGAATGAGAGGCGAACACCTTAACCTCTAGGCCACGAGAGCCCCCGGTCAATATGCCACGAAAAGGGAGGCTATGTTCTGTGTGCACCCCTGAAAATATGGCCTGTGTTGAAGACAATGTAAGGGAGGAAGCATGCATGCATTATTTAGGAATAAAATTTTTAATAGTATCACAACTTCTGCGTCACCATGCATTACATCTGAGAAATTTCACACTGACCATAATAAATATAAAAAACTACTGAAAAAGCAGAATATTAGAAACAGAGAGAAAAAAAGGGAGATTGGCAAGACTAAAAACATGAATTTGTAATGTAAACACATACCCTAAAACAAGTTTTCTTACCATGTCTCTCTGTTTTTTTCCTTGGCTTCCCTCTCATATTTTTCCAGTGTTCTTTTGTCTACCATTCCTGTTAAATACCTGAGGAGAGATAAACAAGTGCTTACAGAACGTGCCAAATAACTAGATTAACAAGGACTAAAATAAATTATCCGAAGACACATGGAAAGCATCTCATTTACTGAGACATCGAGGTCAAATTCATAAGGTTATCTCTGCCAAGAATAGTACATGAACTCAACAACCAGTTATTAAATCTAGTTTTCTTGGCCTCGATGTAGCGCAACTTACCCTACTTAAGGATTCCAATTCCATCCACGACAAAGCAAAATAACAAAAACATCCATTCATTAACTAAAACTAACTACTAGCCACCCCCAATTCCTTTGACATTGTTATTTTAATAACAAGTATTACATATGCAATTTAAATAACAAAATTCCCTTTCACTTAATATAGCGGCTCCAATGCAGACTAGATCCTTATGAAGTATACTGTTGGGATACCACTCTATATTATTAATATAAAGCATTCTGAAAATTAACACACCGATGCTATTTTTATTATGGGCCTAATTAACCCTTAGAGCGCTGACTTCTTTCCCCTTATATTTTCCCTCTGTGCTGAATTTATTTTGGAAAAACGCCAGATTTGCACATACGCTTTTTTTTTTGCTAATAACTTCTGTATTTGTCAAAATTTCAAATGAAGGTAAGAATAAAAGTTTTAGAAAATTGAAAGTTCTTTATGAATATGTGAAGCAAAAAGTATTTTGGGAAGTTATTGTAGTAGTGGTGTTGGAAATGACTGAATAAATAAAAACTGCCGGTTCATTAGATCTCTAGATCTAGACCAGAGTCTAGATGCTTCGTAAGCCTACGTTATATTTCACAAAGTGTTAGCTCTAGGATCAAAACCCCAGAAATCATCTTTCGATTCAAGGAAAATACGCAAAACATCTTCATCTGAATCTGATGCGACACTATTTTCATGTTTGTCGCCGGTCGTAAATTTTCCAACTTCACTGTCCACTGTCACTCGACTTCAACGTGAAACAAAAAACTCCTCGCGCCTCGATCGAACCCCGTGACAAGAAAAATGGCAGGCGAAATCAATTCTGCATAGCCTTCCAGCCAGCAGTATAAAAATTAGTACTTTGTTCTTTTTGTACATAGCGTTATACTATGCCAATGTCTATCGCGATCGTCCGCGATCAGCACTTTACGGAAGTTCGGGCCGTCGCGACCGGTCGAGATCAGCACTCTAAGGGTTAAAAGATAATGGACCAAAATAAGAGGCAACAACACTAAAACTTACAACAAATGCCCTCCAATCGTTGACTTGCCAGCATCTGCAGATTTCAAAGAATTATTAGAAAAAATGTCTCCCTCAGGGCAAGTAAACACACGTAATTAACAGCTAAATATTTTTTTATTTTATTAAAGAGATACAATCTGTTATTTCAGATGTACAATCTCTGAAGATACTAGGAAGACGACTGAAAGTCATAGTGATCACTTTAAACCAAAGATAGTGTGTAATGTGCACACACAAAAAAAATCCATAAAACATAGGGCTTTAAATAAAATAAATAGTTTGGGGTTTTTTCCCCAGCTCCAACCCTCTATAGGTAGAACCAAAAACAACATGGTTTTAACATTAATTGCTTTCATATAAAAATACACTCAAACAGTCACAAGTGAATGTAAAGCAAACCAGCCCAGCCAGATGCCTGAGCAAAGATTCTACACCGATCCTTGTCAAAGAAGCTCAGGAAAGCCACCAGACTCCAAAAAAAAGTTTCCAGAGTAACAGGGCTGCCAACCCATCTCCAAGGTTTTCAGTAATGACCATGAAGAAAATAATTTCCCATAACAATTAGTAATAATAGTGCTCTCATTTTCAAATTACTATATTACAATGAACAAAAATGTCTTAATTACTGTAAAATAGGGCTTATCGAAAATTAAATAAATGTGAAGGCCAAAGTTTTGCTTTAAACTCACCTTCTGAATCACAAAATGGAAGATGACTGACGTAATGGATTTAGGGTTACATTTCAGGCTCTGGTGACAGTAATTTGTTTTTATCAAGGATTTCTTGCCAAATCTATTTCCATCCTCAACTCCAGAACAACCTATTTACAGTCCTTAAATTCACAACAAGTAACATACTTCAATCCACACAATACTTCTTTACATACCCAGTGAAGTGTGCTGACAAAATGAGTTACTTCTCGGATTTAAGCCTTATGGAAATAGATACATCATGCTTATAGGTGAAGCTTTTACATTTTATAAGTATGAAATAATAAAAGGCATATTATACTTAAAGAATGTGGCATCAATATAAATTCTACAAATTTGACCCTCATGTCAATTTTTCTTAAATATATCCATTTATGGGTTGCGAGAAGTAATTCATTTTGTCAGCACGCCTCAAATTTTATTGTGGGCAAGGCTAACTCGCGTGAAGTGGGCCAGCTGATCCCTTTTTCAGAGCTTCCAGCAGCTGATGTCATTTTTCGAGGATTTTCGGGTCCAGGGCAGAGCCCAGGCAGGGGTTGAAGGGGGACAGCGCCCCCTTTATGTTTGATAATTTTTTGATTCAGGGCATCCTAAGTATGCCATTTCTGGCTATTCATGTATAAATTTAACAAGAAAATATGTGAGAAAAAAAACACCTTGCATACATAATTTTCTGCTTGTCAAGTGTTAATCCATATAAATCCAAAAGCTATGCTTCCTCCCTTGTACAGATATTGTACATCCATAACAGTAGTATGACAGCTAGATTAGATCTATAAAACTTGACAGGTAATGTTTAACTTTTCTCTGCTTGTGTTGGTTTGCACCATAATAATAATGGGAAGAATCCTTATAATAATATAACAGCAAGATCTAGATCTAGATAACTTGACAGCTTATATTCAACTTAAATCCACAACAATACTTAGATCTACAAATAAACAAGTCTGGTAAAAAAAATCAAGCTCTCTCCAGAGTTGTTCTTTTCTTGGCAGGCCCAAAAACTATTGAACCACAATCGTCATTTATTCCTCTAGTTTACAGTGCTGGTGCTCTTCTTGTGCTTTAGAAAGTGAAAGTAAAAGACTCTGTCTACACTTTCAAATAAAATAGCATTTCCGGTATGGGTTGGCTATTGTTGACTATTAGTAATTACAGACTTTTATTTCGCATTTTGTAAAATAAATATTTTTACGGAAATTTTTCCATTTGCAGAATTCTGTTAATTTGCGGAAATCCACAAAATTACGGAAGACTGGAAGCACTGCTTTTTTAAGGGAGCAGGGGGGCTGATTTACAGATTGGCAGTTTTCCGACTATTGGCAGACGATTTATAGGTCTGCACTAAGACTTGTAAAATAAAAAAAGAGCCAAAAATCTGCTGACAGTAAAAATCGTAATAAATCGTCTTACAATCGGAATTTCGTAGTGAGGCTAAAAAATCGTAATGAATACTAAAAAATCGGCATGGTTGGCAGCCCTGGAGTAAGAAAATCAGACTTTTTTTTTTTTAAATGTGCCCTATGAACCAAATCTTTTTTTTTTTTTTTTTTTTTTATAGTAGAGGGTTTTACGGCGCTCGCAACTGCATAAGGTCGTATGAGCACCAAGGGGTGGGTGTCAACAGAGAAGTCTTTACAGGGAATCAGACTTACTCTGCTCACCTCTCTAGCTTCAACAGCACAAAGTCTGCTTCGACTGTCAAGGCACCCTGGAAATAGCGGGTCACAAGAGTGTGACAAACATACAAAAGAAGAGGAGGAAAATAACAATAGTAAGGATTAGGAAAGAAAAAGCAGTAGTTCCCTGTTGTACATCAGGTACAGTTATGAGCGTGACATGATGAATCAGCCCATTTACAATTCTACTGTGCTTGAACGAGAAATGTCCCCCCTTTGGGAATGGCCTAAAGACACTACAGTCAGTGGCACAGCCCCGGGCGTAGAACCAAATCTAAATAACAATCTCTTGAGCTCTGGCAGGAGTAGCAACAGGAGGAAGAAACAACACGGTACCAAAAGTATTATTTTACTCAGTTTAAAAACTGAACTTACGTAGAAAGGATGAGCATTACTTCAGTGAAAACATCTATAAATTAAAAGCTCTAAGAATCCTATGTGTCATCTGAGACTGAAAAGCTTCATCGTGTGATAAGGCTGTCAATGATCAGTGACAACATTTATCTTGCACACAAAACTTCACTCAGAGGTAATATCACACCAAAGGTGGGTAAGCGCGTGCGAAAAAAAAAACCTCAATAGCTCCAAAATAAATCATGACTTAACTTTTGACAATAGGTTGCAAAAGGTTGCAAACTCTGGTCAGCAATACATAAAGATTTTCATACCAATACCATATCAAAACAACTATCAAAAAAGAAGACGAACTTATCAAAACTTTAACCACAAGCTCAGTGGCATCAAAGAGGTCCTCCAAAAGATTAACCTAACTGAAGCTACCAACCTAGCCCTTGACTGAAAATTGCATCTCTCCTCCACATCTAAAGATGCAAGAGGAAGAATAAAGAAAAGTTAAGTAGCCACAGTGTCAACCCACTTCCGTTCGAATATAAATCCAAGAAATTCTCAAAAATGAAGCAGCAAGTGTACTCACCAACGTGCCCAATGAAGACCACATTTAAATGTTCTTTTCTGACTTTTGGTTGACCTGGAACTTTTGGTTTCTTTACAGGCATCACAGCCTCAGGATCATCCTCGTCTTCTTCTTCGTCTTCAATATCCTCTTCTTCATCTTCCCCCTCATCCCAGTTGGCTGAAAAGTAAGAAGACTTTCGTTTTAAAAAAACCAATCTCCAGTTCAGTTATGATAACCTCTACAAAGGGAAGGATCTGGCCATCATCCAAGAGGGGGGGGGGGGGGGGGTGTTCCCAAGCCAAGGAGACAGGTAAAGTAGCAGCACTACTGAAAATTTATACCACCAAGAAACAAAATCTACACACCTATAAGTAAATGATCTTGAAGATCTTGTTTACAACATAACTAATTGTATGCCCTAAGGCATCTCAAAAGAAATTTCAGTTTGCAAAACTAATGAACTTAGAAGGCACTTAAGCCCATGCAAAGGTTCAAACAATTTCCAATTACCTTATACAAAAATACAGCAAGAAAATCTGTCTTTAACACAAAGCTCTACATAGGCGCTTTTCTTACACACCTTTTAATTGTTCTACCACAGCAATTCCATCCCATTCAGTATTTCCAGATCATCTTCAAAGCAAACCAGACATATAAAGTCCATTCAATGACCCAATCATTATCAAAATAAGTCCGAACAGGTAGCGGGTACCATCGCTTTCTCATATGCTGCGCTCCTCTTCAACAATCTGTGACTTCTGATGAAAGACAAACTAAAATAACTTTTAAGACAACAGTAATATCTTTACACATGAAACAAAGTCACTTATATGTAGACCCGATCATTTCAAATAGCATCCAACTTACTCCAATCTGTAATGAATAAGGTCTTTTAATACACCCAACTAATTGTTCACTCAGACCCAACTTTTTAAACTTACCTATATCCCCATTGCCTTCCTCGACAGGAGATACATCTGAAAAAGACATTTTCACAAAGGTCACAGACAGCTAATACAATTATAAAAATTGATACTTTCAAAATTAACCATTATACATGACCCACACAAATCACTTCAAGTACATTAATTATCACTTACTTAAACACTATTAGTCTTACTGATTTCGCATTAAAATGTGACACAATTAGGCACACAACATCTCTTTACATCAAACGTACCAAATTTACGTTGATTATACTTGCATCACTAAAACTAAAATGCACTTGCTCCCACAATCACCTTTCCACTTCCCTGCAAAGCTTCGTCTTAGTAAGAGTTTACCAGCACTGGCAACACAAATAGGTCATATATGTGACAAAGATTATAGGTGTAACAAGAAAGAAACAACAAAGAAGAAAAATGACGATCTGATAGATATTTGATAGGAAAAAAGGAGCAAACCTCATCACTTGCAAACCACCCACATGCAAAGCTTAACTCACTTCAGACGGTTCACACAACAGTTGCGTGACCCCTGCCGCGACGCTCGCGACGGCTCCCACAAGCCCTGCGTGACCAACTTTGGAAGTTTTTTTTTTCGCTCTACAAATCACGCACGGATCGCGAGGCCTGCCCCGTACCCTTGTTTGGCCAAGCCTGAGCTACTTAGACTTCGTTTCGTATCTCTGGGGCCAGTAGTTTTTAAGTTATTGAAGGTGAAGGACAGTGACCCCAACTGGGGTTGAACAGACCAGAACTCGCGCTTTGTTTTTTTCTATACAGCTGATAGTAATCCGACAGTCGCGCCGTAGTAACGGTCGAAGAAGTCGCATGAACAAGAATCACATAATTTCGCTGTTTTCTATACTTCTGTACGTTTTACTAGTTCTAGTGTCTCAGAATATGATGTGTCTAATAGTTAGGATCCTGGATATGTACCCGAACACGGCCAGAGTCGTAGTTCTAGGGCTAGATCTAGCACTAGATCTAGTACTGGTGTTTTTCGCGCAACGAAATCACAACGTCGTGCCGTACATCTGTCTCATGTAATTCAGTGTATGGGTCTGAATCAATGCACAGACCAGCTTTTATATTTTCACCAAACACTCGCACATGGATACAAATCAAACCAGAACACTTTGAACTTTTATTTTTGTTGTTGTAGTGAATTTCATTCTACCTGTCACGTCTCTGGAAATTTTTCGGAAAATCAAATTCATGCCAATTTTTAAAAAATCATACAAATTGAAGTATTAGACAAACAACTTTAGTTTTTTGTATTAGATTAAGCTTGACTGTTACTTTACTGTGTCAAAAAATATTACAATAGGGTAATTCTGAGAGTTGTTGTGATTTATTGAAATACCCCCAAAAACACCAGTCTTCAACGCTTGTGACTGGTGAAAGGGCCCAATCGCAAGTGAGTTAAAAGAAAAATTTTAAGAGGTAAATAATGCGTACAACAAACAAAAGAAAATAAAACCATGAGGTGTGGATAAAAAAGAAAATGTGTGTCAACTGATACTATCAGCTTTAATCTAAAGATGAGGCTGAGAATAATCAGCGACCATTTTCATTTTGCACACATTACTTCACACAGAGGTCATTTCATTCAAACCAGAGGTGGGTAAGAGTGTGCGAGAAAAACTTCAAGTACACAGAAATAATAGCTGGATCTGGCTCTCTCTAAATCTTGAACAATAATTACCTATCCCATCTGTTTCCATTGCTTCTTTTTCGAGTTCCTGAGGAGGCGTTTCTTCTGGATTTGGCTGTGGTGTGAAACCTGGTACATTAAAAACAAAACAAAAAAAGTAGAAGTTTCTATCTACACAGGCTGCAAAACAAAACAAATGACAAATTCTTCCTTCTGAAAAAAAAAGTCTCAATGAAGAGCAAATGTACTATCAAAATTTCCTTTCCACTTTATTTTTTAAACAAGGATTCGAGTTTAAGTACAACTTGTTAACAAGAAAAAAAATAAAACTAAAGCGAGATCAATAACAAATAAAATAAGCATTAAGGATTTCAATTCTCAAACTTAACCATGCTTCAAGACAATCACAACATCGGTAATACCATAAATACACTACACAACACAGCAAAGCTAAGTACTAAAACTATTTTAAATATATCAAAAAAGTTTCCACTCCGGAATTCAGAACTTAAGCAAAAAAACTTCCTAACCGATATGGTGTATACTATTGCTTTCAGTTCAAAGCACATCGATCACATATTAAAAAAATGCAGCAAAGCTAGGCATAGAAGGTACTACTATGTTTCCTCCATATCATGAAATCATTCTATTTTTAACCTAACTGCCTGATTTCACCACAAGCAGAAACATTTCCATTACACAATATTTAACCCTTATTTTTGGGTTGCTGTAAAGACACTTACCCAAACAAACAGCCACCCAGTATTGATAAAATCCAAAACCATTGTGATGTAATTTTGAGCCTTTCATAACAAGGACCATCTGCTTCCCTTTAGCACATCTAACTTAACTCAAACCAGAAGAATCATGTCTGCCATATCAGGCAAAGCTGCAATGCAACAGCCGGAACAGAAAAGTTCTTTATGATGACTACCATTGACAAATTATTAGTGACATCAATGCTTCATAGGCTTAACCTGATATAAAAACTAAAATCTATGCCGACTTTTGTTTCAAATTCTAATAAACTAAGTAAACTATGAAAACTTTTACCTTTTTCACGTTACATCCCCAGTAATTTTACAGGACTAGGGTTCCAAGTCCAACACAAAATCAACTTTTAACACCTCTATTCTGTTTGTTGACACAAATCGTCTACTAAAACAATCACAAATAAAACATTCATTTCTTTGGCTGGAACAAATTTTCACCAAAGGCAAACAAAGTGACAGACAGCCAAGTTTGGAGATAAAAACCCACTGGAAAGTGATGTAGCATGCATATGTACAATAGAAAAAAACAAACAACACAAGTCTGCATAACAACAAGGGGTGAAGAGAAAACCAGATTTCTTATCAAATTTCAGCACTAGGTTACACCTCCTTGTCAGGTTGAATATCCAGCATATCCTTAATTCTCAAGCCCATCTATCTTCCATGAAACCTCGTTAAAAATGTGTTAGCTCTTTAAAAGATCGTCATACTCTAATCAGAAATTATGGCTTTCAACACAAATAAAAATGGCACCTCGCCTGAAGAATATGAAAAGTAACTTAACTGTTAGGGGCACTTTGGGTAACAACCACACCAAGACACTGAAAAATCTGTGTTCACTTTTGACTTTAGTAATAATAAAAAATAGCTATTTAATTGTTTTCAGATTAATCAGTACTGAATATGGCACATCCTGGTGAGAATAGCCACTTCCTAAAAAATCTGATCGGACTCTCAAGTCCGAATATACATGATCTACAGGTAGCCTTCTCCCAAAACAGTACACAACACCTCCGAAGCCATCAGACAGTGTAGCAATGCCAAAGACAATTAGATTTTTTGCTTTAACCCTTTTTTATTTGGTACCTCTAAGAAAGAGTCTTCAATTCTAAGAGTTATACTTCTTGAATTTTAAGAATCGGTTCATAAATAAAAGTTATGGAGTTGTAAAGGTCGGCAAAATATGGATGACCCACATAAAGGAAACGGAGAGTTTACGTACACGGTAACCAGGCACATAGTCCCAGTATCTACAGTGGAAACCATATATAACAGGCCCGGTAATAACAGGGATCCGGTAATAACAGGGATTTTTAAAATCCCCGTTTTTTCCTACTCGTCTCTATTAAAAGTTATCAGCAATAACAGGGCCTCATCGGAGCCCAACCGCTTATAGCAGGGACAAAGGCTTGTTAACAATGAGTAAAAAGTGTGTGTGTGTGTGTGTGTGTGTGTGTGAGTGTGAGAGAGAGAGAGAGAGAGAGAGAGAGAGAGAGAGAGAGAGAGAGAGAGAGAGAGAGAGAGAGAGAGAGAGAGAGAGAGAGAGAGAGAGAGAGAGAGAGAGACACAGTGATGGAGCAAGCCCACGCAAGCCATGCCACAGCTAGCACACGCAACTTGTGAAGCGAGAGAGGGCTGCGGCGTGCTGCAGACCTTGATCTGGCCAGAAACCTAGCAACACGGACGCGTAATGTGTCACCAACGATGTCAATCGCAAGAGAAAATGCCTTTCAATTGACAAAAAAATACGAAATAATCCAGGCTGTTGACAAAAAGCAAGTTCCACTGGCAGAGATTTGTTGTCAGTTCGACATTCCACAAGGGTTGATTCACACCGTTATTAAGCATAGAGAGAAGATAGTGGCAGCATACTGCAATGGGAAGTTTGCTCTGGATGGAAAGAAGATGAGACTACCCGATGCTGATGCCGTGGACCAAGCTCTACTGATGTGGTTTAGGAGGCCAGGAGAAAGTTTGCACCAAAACCCCTGTTAGTGGGTACTTGTGGCAAGGGAAACGACCCATGAATAAGTACAGCTGGATTAGTCCAAAAATGCTTACTTTCCTTGCATTTCTGATTTAACAGGGATCGGATATAACAGGACATTTTCTCTACTCCCACCATCCCTGTTATATCAGGTTTCCACTGTACGTACACGGTAACCGGGCACCTAGTCTCAGTTTCAGTATCTACGTACACAGTAACCGGGCACCTAGTCTCACCTAGTTTCAGTATCTACGTACACGGTAACCGGGCACCTAGTCTCACTTAGTTTCAGTATCTACATAGACGGTAACCGGGAACATAGTCTCAGTATCTACACAGGGTAACCGAAATGAAAATAAATCCATATGTCCTGTGCTGTCACTCGCTGGAAAAAAAGAAGAAAGTCATACAAGTATCTTGTCGGGCTCGCCATCGTGACCAGTCAGTGAACCTGTGCGCGTGCATAACATTGTGAGTACCGGTTGGGGTCACCAAAGTTCAATCAAAGTCTATGAGCTGCTAACTATAGGGGGATTATTGAATTTTTTAAAGGTACACAGCCATGTTTAATCGCATGGCATGTATCTAGACCTAGGCCATAGATTCTAGTCTAGATCTAGATCTAGAATAACCGAAGTCTACTCTGAGCCTAGAGAGGGCGCTGAAACTTTCAGAAATAACAAAAGATTTCCCCTACCAGGTCTGAATACTTCGTGACTGTTCCCGGTTACCGGGTCTGTATACACTCCCTTTCTGCTGAGAGGTTGCCAAGTTTCATTCACATTGGTCCAAAAATAGCACAGAATGAGTTCGAGAAAGTTAGTCACTTGCGTTCCGACCCGGTCCCAAAATTTCGCCGCGCTTGGAAGCCTGCTAGGCTAGACAGTGCCTGCTGTAGTCTACTCTCGAACGAATCTTTATCCTTAAATTTTATATAAATTTCTGTCGGTCAGTACTGTCGTTGTAAGTGTATCAAAATATGGCATGGTCAGCTTGTGGTAGAATCTCGGACCGGTAGATCTATTCATTAAAATTTTGTCAAGGGGGAGACCTCCCTGAACCCCCCCCCCCCCACATTATCGCGCAATAATGTACGAGTGGTCCGGTATTCTTCAATCTTCCCCAGCTTGTCAGTCCGGTGGCTACAATATTGTATTCTAAAAAAAAAGTGTACTGTAACATATTGCGGGTCTTTCACAAGCAAAAAATCTGACAAACAGGATTCTTTCAGGCTTTCAGGGTAGATCTAATGAATCTAATCTAGATCTAGATCTAGATTAGATCTAGAATCTCTTTGACTGATCTTATTTCTAGATCTAGATCTAGATCTTTCTAGATCTACAAAATCAGCAACAAAAAAGGAAATCCCAAATTTCACATGGCAAAGATTTCAAAAGGAAGACTTAGAGAAATTAGATAGCAAAAATGTCTGCCTCTCGCCATTGCCATTGTGACTTGTCAATAATTACTGATGCGCATTGTACGCTCTAGAGGGTTGGTACATTGGGTTTAAACATCTAGGCTGGATCGGGATAGCATAATATTCAACATAAACGAGGCTTCACCCTGTGACTGGACTTCGCCATCTGTTGAGGAGGTTGTATGCTGAGGAGTTGTATGGTCAAATGTTGGGACGAATGGTTGGGCGAAAACGTTTTGACCTGGTGTGAAAACAGGGGCGTTGACATTCAGACTTGAAAGTCCCGACGACAAATCTGAGGTTGGGTCGCTGGAACCATTTGGATTGTCGTCCCATGAATCTGGCACATTGTCTTGTCCATTCTGGGACGCCATATTTAGAAATATCACAATGAAAATCTGTCTTCACACAGTCACTTTCCTATTTCCTCCACACCGCGTGTAATTCACGATGTGACGTCACAAGTTCACATGCGCAACTGAAATATCGACAGTCGAAAATGTTACGAGAACATTGTATCCACTTTGTTTTCCAATACAATGAAAGATCAAATTAATGAATTGTAGAAATTAACGTAAATGTGGGTCAAAAGTATTAAAATAATCAGATACATGAAAAAGTATCTACTTGCTGCCACCCTTAAAGGCCCGTTACATAAATATTTCGCTTTTTTCATGATTTCAGAAACCTATAACTTTTGCTTCAGCAACTTGAAAAAAAAAACGAATGAATCCATCAAGCCCTTTATTGACAAAAAATAATTGCATTATCAAATACTTTTTATTTTCGTGCAGTTTCTAAAGTAAGCCAAAACAAAATGGGTCTACACATAAAATGTTTCTTGGTAAAAGGTCGATACTGATAAACAACGTAAGAAATTTTTATGTAAAAAAAAAAGAGAGAGAGACATTGTGGCAATAAACGAATAGAAACTCCTGGTAGGGCCTAGTGCCATGCCGATTTAAATACTCTCTGCGAGTACTCAGGATAAAAATATGACCACATTGTGGGGAATTTATCGGAGATCGCGGGTGGATGCAATTCAGTAGGCCTACTCCACTTTGGAAAATAAAAAGTACATGCGTCGTATTTGGGGCTCAAGCAAGGAGTTTAGAACTTTTAATCTCCTTGGGCTCAAGTCAAAGTTGACTTTCCCAATTACATACTTTTCTTATCTGTGGGGTATGATATAGGCCTACTATGGTGCACAATCCAACATCTTGATAATTGCTGTTTTTACGTGATTCCAACAGATTACAATTAAACTTTTTTGTTTGTCCTTTTGCACCGTGTAACACGCTTTGTAATAAAAATTTTAAAAACAACAACAATAACAAAAAGCCTTCGCGATAAGCGTAGACCTGTACGTTTTGTAGGGCTATGCTTTAATTTATTTGTTTGTGAGCGCTTGTGTACGTACACTCAGTGCTCCATTCCTACAATTGTTTTTTTAAGTTTTATTTTTTGCGTTCTCTCTCTCTCTCTCTCTCTCTCTCTCTCTCTCTCTCTCTCTCTCTCTCCCTCTCTCTCACTCTGCTCTCACTCTGCTCTGTGTGTGTGTGTGTGTGTGCTTTTCTCCGTTTGTCTGTTCCTCGGACTTAGACCACGAGGAAATTGGTCTTTTAGATGTAACCTAGGCGATCATAAATCAGGCAGCGCAGACCAAGAACTACACACCTTGCTTGTGGGCTGACACACCAGCCGCTCAGGCTTCGGCCCACAGCAAGCAGTGACCTTCGTAAAGATAATAATGATTACAACGGCCACGGCTAGGCGGTCTCTTTCTCCCCCCCCCCTCTCTCTCTCTCTCTCTCTCTCTCTCTCTCTCTCTCTCTCTCTCTCTCTCTCTCTCCCTCTCAATCTCTCCCTCCTCTCTCTCCCTCTCAATATCTCCCTCCTCTCTCTCTCCCTCTCTCCCTCTCAATCTCTCCCCCCCCCTCTCTCTCTCTCTCTCCCCTCTCTCTCTCTTTCTCTCTCTCTCTCTCTCTCTCTCTCTCTCTCTCTCTCTCTCTCTCTCTCTCTCTCTCTCTCTCAATGGTTTAGCTTCCCTGTGTTTGTGTTCAAACTAACGGACATGTAAAAAATTATTGTAGACAGACAAAAGCGATGGAAAGACAGAAAGTTGACTTGAGTTGAGTTAGAGTTTTACGGAAATGGAGGGCACACACTGATATGTTTTGACACCTTTTCATAGGATAAAATGTTTGGTAAGCTAGCAGTCCATGCCCGACATTCTGTTTCATCCGAAGGAAATCCATACAAGGTCACTTTTTCTGCACCTTTCTGACTGTCATAGCCAGTTTTGCATCCACCAACTGAGCATTTTCTTCCCATTGTCGTTCTTATTCCTTCAGTTTATTTTGAAGGTGTCAGTCACAGTCCAACAGAGTCATAACCACACATGATGAAAGCAAGAAATAGGCCTAGAAGAGAAACATGTAAGCACTGTGAAAGAACAGCAGATATTAATATACAAAGCAGGCCGGGAAAAACACAAAGGAGCTCCCCCATAATTATGATCCGTATACTTTTCCCTACCTAACAAGGGTGGGCCCCTAGACGCTCAGAGTCTAGATAGATTTATATCTACATGGTCCTTTTAGTCTTTTGTTTGTGTTACAATCTAATCTAAATCTAAAAGCAGATCTAGGGATAGGATGGAGAGTTCGTTTTTAGTGGTTGTTTGCATAGAGAGGCTCTAAGTCAGTGAAGAGTGTGCGGATCAGGATGGGGGGGCCTCCACTGTGTAGACATGGATTTTAGAATGGATTTAGACAGATATGAATTAAACTTGCACGGTCAAAACTTCATTGTAGGTTTAATCTAAACACGTACACTGATGGAAGAGATATTTGATATTCACACAATCCAGATGATTTGAAAAAAAAACTGCATTAGGCCTCAACTAAAAGAATCCAGGCATTCACTGAGTACGATGGCGATGAAGAATCTGAAAATGAACAGTAGGCCTATAACAGTGCAGCCAAACAGCACTTCAAATTTGCGATCTCAAAATTGTTGGTCAATCTTAATTAATTAATTAATTAGTCACCACTTCTGTTCCTCAACACACACAATGATGTAGAAAATATTCACATAATCCAGATGACTTGAAAAGCAAACTGCATTAGGCAGAAATAATCCAGTGTCAAAGCATGAGAAAACAACAATTCAAACTGACCGCCGCACCCTGCGTAGGCTTATCACTACTAATGATCTACACGGTTGTGGGCTTACTACACGGGTGTGTCAGCCCACAAGGAATCTAGGTCAGTAGCGCGCAGGTGGCCTGATTTTATGATCGCCTAGGATGTAACCCAATAGAATGATCAAACAAAAATGAGAATAGACATGATCTGCTTTCCTCTTGAAAAAAAAGATGGTAATCTGAAGATATAATCTCAAATTGTATGGATTGAATTATCTAATTTAACGTATTCACACAAGGTATCTGATCCTATACAATCAGCGGATTCCAAGAGTGTTCTTTTAGAAATTTTGATTTATAACAATATTACTGCATTTATTATTTTAATATTATTTCATTATTTTACTCAAATCAATTCTATTGTTAGTATTATTGTTCTTGATATTGATGTTAAGACTGCGTTTCTTCTTCTTCTTCTTCTTCTTCTTCTTCTTCTTCTTCTTCTTCTTCTTCTTTTTCTTCTTCTTCTTCTTTTTCTTCTTCTTCTTCTTCTTCTCATTATCAATATTTGTATTGTGATAATCATTAGCATTATTTATTTAGCTTTATTTATTTATTTATTTATTATTTAATTTATGTTTGTTTGTTTTTTCCTTAATTATCATTAATACTGCCCTTAATCCACAATCGTGTTATCGATAAAAATGGACGGTAACATAAATGATGACACTTATAAGGGGAGGGGGGGGTTGATGAGAAATGGTATGGGGGGTGCAATTACAGCGAATTATAGGCGATTTCCAGGTTGATAACCATAGATATGGGGTACATAGAAGCGGAACCTATAAATTGGCAAAAAAAAGATTATTAATCCGCAGACGGGAAAAAGAGGCTAAATCAGCACCTGGACATGGATGTCTGGTGCCTCTATAAATAAATCCTTGATGGTCATGGTCAAGGTCTGTCCCTCACTCTGTATCTATTTTTTCAGAGAAAATCTTGTCCTGCAAATCGCTAAGTATTCTTAAGTAAAAACTTTCGCTCTGTTTTATTTTTAGTAACCGTGAATTAACGGTAGAGTAATGCTAATTCCATACATTTTTGTTAACAGATAAATTAATGACGTAGTCAGTAGCCATTGATGGCTCTGAATGCTATATATTCCATTTTTATCTACTGTTATATAATATGCACGCCGTTAAACTCGATTTTGGCCTGAGTTTGCGAAGTTGGAAATTTAGTTCTCCCACCCATCTACCATCCTAAAATCGACCCCCCCCCTCCTTTTCCAACACTATTATTATTATTATTATTATTATCATTATTATTATTATCATTATTATCGTACCATCCTTTGCCTTCCATTCTATATCACCACGTGTATATTGAATTGTTTTTGTTTGTAAGGGTACCGTACGTGCGGTTTAAATTCTTAGCTCTCGAGACCTAAAGGAGCCCATTTTTGTTGTTTATAATGTAATGGATATCTGTTGCGAGGGACAACTTTTGTGTGTGATTTGGGGGGGGGGGGGGTTCTTTTGCTGAAGAAAAGATTAATTGGAACACCGCATCGTCCTCACGCCCCCCCCCCCCCCCCCTTCCCAGGTGGAAATCCCCGCCGAATGGAGGGGGAATCCAAGGCGGTAACTGCAAGGCGCATTTATACCAAAAGCAGTGACGTTACCCCATTGAGGTGCGTGGGCGGATTGCTTCATTTTGTGGAGTCATTAAGATCACAGAATTTTGCGGTGGAAAAGTTTTTATTGACAAGTGATTTGCAGCAGAAAGTGACCAAGCGGGGCGCTGCCGACGGTCAGGCAATGGACGTTTAGATCTCAAAGAATTTTACGATGGAAACGATTAGGATACGATAGACAAGTAAGATCGCGACAGCAGGGACCAGACGTTGAAAGCCAGACGCTAAGCCAGCGCATTTAGAAAGTTGAAAGCAGCTGACAAGACGAGAATATTTTCTAGAAATCGTTGTGGGGGAGGGGGGTGTGGAAGACTGTCAATTTTTAATTAGATTTATAAACCAGTGGTTCGGCAGTCGACTGTCAACGAACCGAGAAACATCGAAGTAAACCTTGGACTAAACCGGCATTTAAAAGAAATGTCTGCGATCGCATTGGAGGATCGGTTCAGCCGATTCGGTTTCTGAGGGCTTCAGAGCGCACTAGCTCCGACCAACTGGCAGAACCGATCTCTTGACACGGTTTTGTCGGCTTTGTCGGTTTTGCCCCGAACCGAACCGATGATGCCAAAGGGCACTCATATATATATAGACAGAGACACAGAGAGAGAGGGAAAGAGAGGGAATCTAACAGAGAGAGAGAGAGAGGGGGTGGGAGAGGGAGAGAGAGAAAGAGAGAGAGACAGAAACAGAGAGAGAGAGAGGGGGGAGAGACCAGAGACAGTGTCTAAGAGAGAGAGAGAGAGAACAAAATAATGACGTGTTCGTTAAAACACTTTTTTGAGCGAGCCGTGCGGAGCACGTGCGTGCGTGTGTATTTGCGTGTTGTTGTTGTTGGGTTGTTGTTGTTTTTTTTTTGGGGGGGGGGGGGGGGCAGCGAGTGATCTTTTTCCTTTCCGGTAATAGCTTTGTTTTAACACCCCCAAAACTTTGTTTTAACACCCTCAAAACAAATTAAAACAAATAAACAAAAGAAGAACAAAGGAAACCCATCAAAAACCCAAATTTTGATCCCTGAATCCAACTATTAGTTATTAGTCTAAACTAAAAAACGCTCACCTAAAGCCGGAACTGTTAACGTACTGTAGGCTAATTAAAAGCTTCTAAACGTCAGGGTTGGCCAGTGTTGTTTAAGTAGTTGCAGAAGTAGGCGTGAACTAAAAAAAAAAATTAATTTTTGGTAAGTGTTTTACGGCGCTCGCAAAAGCATAAAATGGGCGCGTGGGACACACCACATTTTCAGTTAGTAGAAAATTTTGAATTTTTTTCCAGAAACCTACTCTTATCGATTTAGACCACTAGGGATCTTTAACGTGCGCAAACTTGCACACGGGACCTCCGAGATTTTTTGCCCTTGTCTGAGAAGGCTAGGTTATGATCTTACCTACTACATTTTGTATAAGATCAGGGGTGTGGCTGAAAGACAGCAGTAAGAATTTAAGGAGTGAAGGAGAAGTCAGTAGAAAGGCTACACAAGAGTCAGGGTCCCAGAAGAGGGGTCACAGGGGGTGTGGGGCAGAAGTGGAGACGAAAGCAGACGACAGAACATTGCCTAAGAGCAGGAAAGGAGGTGAAAGGAGACACTTTTTAGAGAAGAAAATGTGTCCGTCGCTACCTGGATTCGAACCTGGGACCTTTGAATGAGAGGCGAACACCAACCTCAAGCTAGGTCACGAGAGCCCCCTAGGCGTGAATTCATTTGCAGTAAATTTCCAATAGTCTTCACCAACAAATTATTCGTACTCGCGAGCACCAATTAATTTTTTCAAACCCCAAAATTGTCTAGTTAAACTAATGAAAGATTGAAACTGAGCAACCAGATTGCAGGACAGGCTAATGTGCTTTTAATAGTCTTGTGGAGTATTAATTGTATCCACAGAATTCTGCACTAAGTTTAGAATTCTGTGATTGTATCAGAACTGTAGACTGTGGGCCTAGGCCATAGATGTACACTATAGGCACTATAGTTTAAATTAAAAGGAAGGTAACTCTATGGCCTAGGCTAAACTGGTGGAGGTCTCCAAAGTAGGCTGCTTTCATCATGTATTTGCCCTGGCAGAGAGGACCGAAGCAGCCCGCTTCCAAAGAGTTGTGAATTGTATATAGTGTGGAATGGCTTCTAAAATTCATGTTCACAATATTTACCGGTACAACAAAATTAAATGCAAGTTTGTTTTGTGGCGTACTGCGTAAGCCTACCATAAAATCAAAGAAAGTCATGTTGTTGCCAGTTGTTGGTGTAGCCTAATTAGTTGGCCGTTTCCGACGTGAAATGGACAGTACAAAAATCTGGATAGTCTCAAGAATTGATGCCAAATTAGCTTATAATTACTTGACTTTAGTATGTTGTAATTAAGCCTGTAATAGCTGCAGTTAAATCCTTTTTAATTTTCAGTATACGAAAAAAAAACCTCAAAAAAATTTCAACAAAGCCCACTTCACTCGAACTACAAACAGAAAAAAAGGTCAAAGTCCAGTCGCCTTATCATCGCAACGGAAATCTGGTAGCTTGTCTGGCAGATCATTGTTCATTCGTTCAAAATGGCTGCTGAGGCGAAAGCATTGCTTGATGAGCTGATGGGGAGGTCTCGAAATCTCGACCCCGCTGACAACCCAGAAGATCTTAGTTGGGATAGTGCAGATGTATGATTATATAATTTAGACTATTTCTTTAACTATGGATGATGTTGGCTTGAAGAGCATGAGTACTAGATCTAGATCTAGATCTAGCTCTCTAAATCTAGAGATTAGGGCCTATATTATTAGATTCTATTTAGATCTAGGAACTCAACTGGCTTTACTGTGATGATAGAATCTACTGATAGATTTCTAGATCTAATCTAGATTTCTAGATCTAGATAGTCTCTCTTTGAGAGAAAGCTCGGGGAGGGGGTGGGGAGGAAGTTTTGTCTGTTGTTGAGTATAATTTTGAATCCAACGTTTGGGTTACAACGTTGAACGATCGGGTACTAATCTAGATTCTAGTTCTAGATCTAGAATCTAGATCTAGGGCCACCTCTATTCTCACCCGGAGTGAGAATAGTGCAGGCGAGTCTTGTGGCTATTGTCACCCGGTGTGCGTTCACCAAATTTTGCGTTCACCCTAAACCACAGAATTCTACACTGTGATAACAGAAAAATTGTAGAATAGACCTGCATGTTTGCCGACAATCGTCTGAAATCCGACAATCGCGACCCGACCCGCGAACCGGCCGATGCTATCACTAGGCCCGCCTGTATCAGTCAATGTGCGTAGTGCGAGGCTTGGCCGACTGCCAGTGACCCATTTTTCTCCCGTCGACTTCGTCGGCACTTTCGTTTTCGTGCCGACCGCCGACGCGCGCACCGCCGACTGCCGACGTCGGCGTTTCCGACATAATTGTCGGAACCTAAGTAGAAATGCGAATACGAAAAAGGACGACAACTTAAATTATCTACTTTCAGTTTCGTGCTCGAGCGGCCATTTTGAATTTCGTTTGTTGACTAATTCAATTGTTCAGATCGTGTGGATTCATTCAAGTCCGACTCTCTTGCCTTGTTCTAAAAGAATCTAGATCTAGATTTATATAGATCATTATAGACCTCAATGGAGGATTCATATTCCAATTTTATTGTGTCAAACCCTATCATAGGTTGTGCTGTAATCTTTATATTGGTAAAAATAAGCATTTCATCAGGTGCGTGAATTGTTTATTTATTTAGTAAAGATCTAGAATCTAGATCTAGATCTAGAATCTAGACTCAGCTGAGTCCCTCTGTTCGGAATCGGATGCGGATTTCTAGTTCAAGGCCTATTCCTATTCACTTGTTCTACAAGATCTAGACCTAGATTTATTTAGATTACTATATATATATGAAGGATTCATATTATATATTCCAATTCTATTGTGTTATTGTATCAAACCCTATAGCAATGTAGATGTAAGCCATATATAGATCTAGAATCTAGATCTAGATCTATATGCTCCTTGTTTGTTTTGGAGTGTGGTTTTTTAAATTAAAATTTTTTTTTTCATTTAGGACTTGTTTGGCCTTTTTACATGAGGCCCGTTGCAGGTTCTTTTTGGGGGTAGGGTTAGGGTTAGGTCTCTTCTTTATTGTGTTTGTTGGGGTGGTGGCTCGTTACTCGGATGTTCTTCCTTATGACACCCACAAAGGCCTTTGGGGGGGGGGGGGGGTTGCGCAAAATTTTCAGACAATCTGGTTGAGGCTCACATGCAGGTCTAGTAGAATTCTGTGCCGTGAACAAACGTTCCATTACAACTGTAGCCTACTAAAAGCGTACAATTTTGTCTGTGGGCAGTGGAGAGAGAGAGAGAGGAGTAGCGCGAGAATTTCCGGGCAAAACAAAATGGCGACCCGCGTAGTTCGGCTCGATTCGAAAAGTTAAATAGCCGTAGCATCTTTGTAGACAACCAAATTAATTTACTTTTGTGTTTTAACATCATTTTTTAACTTTGTTTTGGTCAATTTGATCGTCCACACCGATAGACAGTATTCAGAAAGAGACAGAGAGAGAGAGAAGAGGGGAGGAGTTGATCTTGCGAGAACTTCTGGGCGGGTGAGAATAGCCACTTTCTAGATCTAGATCTACTTAACTCTTGTCCTGCGTCTGTGCTGAGATGTGAATCTTATCAGCAACCGATTACGTCGGACATTCCGGGCAGGCTGCAGGGGTCACTCAGTGTGTACTGTTGGTGTACAGAGCGCGTGCCGGGAAACGTGTGTTTTTGCCTTAAATATCGTGGGACTGTGTTAATCGTTGATGAAAATAATACTCTATCTTTCAGAGCTTTCTATTTAGGGATTCGTTCTATTTATTAGCAATGCCAATCGGGCTTTCCCGTGCGGCTAAAATTTGGTCCCCGTTTACGGGCGATTTTGCGGACCCGGCCGAAGCGTAGGTGACTAACTTTGTTAACCTCGGTTTGCTCTATTTCCAAACCAATCCGAATGAAACTCGGCAACCAATTAGAAAATAAGGCAAAATAATGATATGTGGACGTTGAAGTTCGTACACATAAATTAACCTATACTTTTGGTGTCGGGAACACTTTTGTATCGTGTACACCGAAAACTATATGGAGTTTGAATTTCAACGCCGAGATGGTAATAGATCTATCAGGGTGTCCAGCAATGTCGTAAAAAAGCCGTAAATTCGGTGCCCTGGTCGTAAATGGTAGTAAATTTGCTTTGAAGGTAGTAAAAATTTGGTAAACGGTCGTAAATTAGCCTGCATACTGAGAGATGAAGCCAGCAAGACTTTTCAGTGAACCCTAGCCGCGTTACATGACTCTGTTTTTGCCGGTCGCGATTGTGATATAATTATTCGTTCACCTTTTCCCCGTCTGAGAGTACGTTTCACGCAAAAAGCCGGCTATGGCGGCAGGTGGAAGTGTATGTGACACCGAGGCTCGATCGGGAAAATCAAATCTACTTTCGCTTTCGTTACCACCCTCAAATTTGGCATAGATAATATGAACTGACAACGCAACATTTGTAATATGCAGGTTGTACAGTATACCCGCTTTGTCGCCGTGCAAATAAAATCAATAATTACTCGGACTCTTCACCGTGCTGTCACTTGTAGGGGTGGGGGTGAAAAGAAAATACAAGCTTTGTCCGATTTTTAGATTGTCGGGTTCGCCAGCGTGACAGGTCAGTGAACCTTCGCGCGAGGCACTACAAGGTACGGCATCGGTGAGCACCGGCGTTTGTTGGGGTCGCCAAAGTTCATTAAAAAGTCGAGCTTTGCGAAGTATAGGACTACGGTGTAGGGCAGGGATTATTGATTTTTTTAAAAAGAGACAC